CGACGAGCAGGACCATGAGGACCGCACACGGATTCCGAAAGCATTGGACAGAGATAGCGATCTGATAGCTACAAAATACTACCGTCTTCGTACAGTCTCAGTAATAACACTATGCTGTATAAACTTAAACTACTGAAGTGAACAAATGTTCAACTACTGGCTAACTTTTATTAGTACTAAACTTCATAAAAATATCACCGTAGAATTTAAGTAATAATAAAAGAGGGAGATAGAGACATGTAAAATCATTTATGGATATCAAAATTTTTCGCTTAAAAGTATAACTATGCTGGGTAATGGTAGAAGTGGCACCAGGTAAGCCTCCGGAAAGGGTAATCGCCTGCTCGAAGATGGTCTAGGATCCGAGTTTGTCAAATATCTCAGCATCATTATTGTTATATTAAGTACTGTCGTTCTCTCAAGATGACCTACTCGATAGTATTTCACAAGTACTCCATGCCACTAGCCACAAAAAAAACGACATTCCGCGAATATTTGAGCTCAGGAACAAGGTATACGTTAAGCACAATGCACGATCTTCACGCTCTATATTCATGCGATGGTCAAAACAATGTTTTAACAACATAGCATAGCGGGAGTTGCTGAGATTAGTGCGTGAATATGGAGAGCTCAATTTTTCACTTGATAAGGCGCAAAAGCATCCAACGTTGACCGCTATCTGAAATGAAGTTCTTTGCCAAGGCTGCTGTATATAATAAACGAAAATCCGGAGGATTTGCATAGTCGTAACCCCATGGTGTTTCTCTGAGTATTTCTTCTTAATTGAGTTCATGAGCATCTGGTAAAGCCACTTGAAATCTTAATACATCGGCGGTTACGTCTTTGTTCCTATGCTCGAACACCTGAATCCCTCACAAAATACGGTAATTTCCATAGAGTGTAATTTATTTCGATATATGCAAACAAATTCTATTAAAAATTCGAAGATCCTCAAATGGCCGAACATTTGCTGCTGCTGCGTTCACAGTGCGACGAAGATTAACTCAGATATTAGTTTGTTCTATCACTCTTTTATTGCTTAAATATCCCTTGTTATTCAGCACCTGCTGTGGCAAGTTCAAGATGCATATAACTGAAGATAGCCTACCTTTGGCTAACATGGATTACAACATTTCTGAGAGAGACAATTTGAACTACTAAGAGTCGCGGACCGCCATTAGAGCTTAATTTAACACCAAGAAACTCTTTGCTGCTAATGTAAAATAGATTTGTGGAGTAAAATAAAAAAAACGAATTGGACACAACTGGCAATTACAGTGACTAAGACCACAAAAATAATATTAATAAAAAAGTATACAGCAAAAAAAACGTTTCAATGGAAAAATATTTTCATCGTTTTACCCACTTTTACGAAGGCAACACACGTCTGCGGAGAACGAATCGCTGAACAAGCAGAATGGCATCCTGCTAGGTGATGAAGGAACAGTGTAAAGTCCTCAGTAGAACAGTCCTCAATCTCTGGACAAAACGTGAACCTTCGACGGCCAGTGCATTTCTCAAGCATATCTGACGAGAACATTCCCTGAAGATGCGTAAAAAGGTATAACTAAGAACATCTTGCTTACAGGCACAAAGCAGTTTCCTTCTTGAACTCATTCGCGACAAAGCTACAGCTCATAAATTCTCAACTACTATATTCCACAAAGTGTAAAAAGATTTCGAAAGATGTTGTTTTAATTCTAACTTCCTTAAAAAGTAGATTTAGAAAAACTTATAAGCGAGATTTTAGGACCTTAAGATGCAAGAAAAAACCAAAAATACATTGGGGAACATCATTGTACCCTGATGTAGGAAATCTCATTCATCTCCATTTTTCGAAAAACGGGCCTCAACAAGAAAAAGCAAGTAAAAAACGCTTTATGGGCTCCATCAGAATTTTATGACTGTAGAATAGAAAAGAACCTTGTTAGCGATAGTACGCTTTTAATTGTTTTCATCTCATTTAACAACATTCAATAATGCAACATGAGCCGGATATATGTAATTGAAGAAGTTTAAAGCAGTAGTCAGTTCCTAGTACGATTTCATAAATCCATGTGACGAATGTACTAAGTAGCAAAAGGAAAGAGATAGAATCAAGTTTGAGGGATTAAATTAAGATCGCAACTTTATTTTTTCGATACACTTACACTGATTGAAATTGAGTCATAAAAGAAACCTGGGAACACTCTCTTCTCCAATAAAAGGAACAAAGAAATACTTCTTTATTCATCTGGCTTCTTTTTAACACTGAGATAATGGGCTATTATTCAACACGAATTGTTTGCTTCTTACCTAATATTCTTATTCTATTATAAAATTATAACTGAACGCGTAAAAAACCTGAAGGAACGAACCTGAAAATATAGGCTACTATTGCAGATAGCTTCCATCGGTATTCGGGCTAATAGTTCACCATCCTTTGTCTCGAAAACCAACATTTCTACATTCGTGTCAGTGCTAAACACAAAACATTCCTTTTAATTTCGCTATATCGCACTAAGCTATACCGGCGTTTCCATAAGGAAGCTCAGCTAAGAGTAAATTAATACCAGGATCCACCACCACCCCGGTTTCAAACTAGTCGCATGGTGGTAAATCTCCCTCTGATCCACAACGGCGGCAACTGCCTGTGTTAGTGACGACCTAGGGCAGACTTTAACCAGGCTGTCCTCGGGACTCCAGCGAACCACAATGACTAAGCCAGCAAATCTCCGGAGAATGGAAATTATGCTGAGACCGTCACAACCAGTGAAGACGGGCTAGTCAAGTATCCACCCAAGTAAATAAGTAAGTGCGTCGCACAACATCAGTTATTTCGCAGTTAATCATTTTTCACTAGATTACCTTTCAGCGAAGACGTTTTTCTCATACCTGTGTAGCATCAAGTGAAACTGGGTTCCTTTGCAAAACCTCGTATCACCCATTAGAGGAGAAAGGCGAGGCCCACTTCCCCATTTCATACCTATTTTAATCCATTCGTGAAAATGATAACTTCTCAACAAATGAAGAATTAAGGAAACTGAATACTTAACATATATATAGAAGGGACCTTGCCCTATCGTTGTAACACTATAAACAATTTATTACATCCAGGTTTTAAATTCACTTAATCAGATAAAAAAGCCTTCGAGGTGATGTCACGAACGAAAATGTGGATAAAAGTATAAAAAATAGTTAAATTGATCACCTTATATGCTTATCAAGCACACATTCTCCCCGTTTTTGAGGACGAACGGTCGCATCTATCTCCAAAATCTCTCTGAATTGCATTTGTATTAAGAAATCATCATGGCCCTGATGCAGAAAAAGAAGAAGAAAACAAGGGAACAAAGTTTAATCTGCGACACTTCTGTTTCACATGGTTTTCAGGTTATCCTTATAGAACGTTCTTACTTAGTAGTAGCAATCGCAACACATCTCATTGCATATTTCATTCATTTACTTTGTTGCTCCATTTATTTATTTTATCTTCACACGTCAACAAAGGAATTCAAAAACGTCTATAAATAGAAGTTTGTAAAGATGATAGAATTAATGCAATAGTTAAGGTTATTTATGTAAGAGGTGGACATATGACGTATAGCGTAGGATATGAGAGTACTTCTGCAATGCACAATGGTCTTTTGTTTTATCGTGTGCTCGGAGCTAACCATAGTCTCATCCCTGCGGAATTAGTAAATTGATAGTAGAGATGTCTGGCTCGTTACATCGGCGAGACACTACAAGTCATCGTAGAGCTTAAATATAATTCTAATAATATCTACTATTAACAGTTCCCAGGATCGAATTTCCATTAAACACAAGTAGGGAACTAAAGGAAGAATCGCGCAACTTGGCTCGGGAAATAGCCATTTCCAATGGCTACGAAATAGTAACTCCACGAGATAAGTTTAGAAGGAGAGCGACGCCCCAAAACAAAAGGTTTGGCGGGAACAAAATCCCGCTCATCTTGCCCTTTATTAGCGAAGAAATAAGTGTAGCGATAAAGCGATGCTTAAGAAGGGCAGATCTAGAGGAATCGGTAGCGATAGTTGAAATAGAACCGGATACTCTACGTCGTCACTAAGTTCGTAACCGCCTGTATGACCGTCTATTTGAAACACCAAACTGCGTAATTTGCCCTTACGGTAGGGACGGTGGTCGCATGAGTTCAGGTACGATATACCTGATCTCTTGTAGTACTTGCGGAGACGATATTGGCGAAACGGACATATCTTTATGTAGCCGCATAAAAGAGCACCTAGATGGTCAAAAAGTAAGACAAGATACGCCACTAGGAACGCATAGGATACAAAAACATAGCGGAGTCGATTTTGATATAAAGGTCGCTATCCTAGCACAGGATCTCAGAACGTTAACAAGCAAGCTTCTCGAGGCTTGTAAGGAAGAATACCCTGAGATAACACGTGATCGCGCCCCGTATCTCAGAATTGACTTTTTATGTGAGGTGGTGCAGAAGTCAACCATATGCGACTCAAAACGGGTGCTCTTCCTCGGTGGAATGCAGGTAAAAAACGGCAGTTTTTTCGAGAAGCCGGTGAACGTGTAATTATTGTTCAGAGATTTTCATCTTTCGATTTGTGCTGTTGAAGCGTTTGACCCAGTAAATTACATATTAGTGTACCCTTCCAGGCTCCGAAGAAGGCAATTCTGCCGAAACGTCAGCTACTGTTGTCTTGTATGTGTTATATTTGTAAGGAAGTAAAGGTGTGCTGAATTACAACCTCGCGAATGCTGTGAAAACGAGAACAACAGATTTATAATCTCTACTATATTAATCGTTTATTTGCTGCCTACCATAATTTTTCACGGCAGAGTATGTCGTGGGATACAACCACGACGATGATGAGATATTCGCAAAATTTGGACCCCGGGCCAGATCTAATCACCGTTGCCTTTACTGGAGACTGGTGTATTACACACTGCACCACGGAGGCCCTTGCTTTGTGTTTCTGTCAACTAGTTTTCTACCTAGCGTTGCCATCATCAGTTACCCATCAGCAGTACTCGAGCCATATCGAAACATCTCCACTATATTCAAAAGACTCGAATGGCACTTCCTCAAGGGACTGATCTAGTTCGAAAACTTTATCGCTTATGCTTTAAGTGCGAATATAACATCACAGTAAAAATACAATAAAAAAGATAATTACCATATATACAACAACGAAGACACTTACCGTAACCGCTGAGGAGCGATAAGCGTTGACATTGCTGCCACTATTTGAGCACAAACAGGGGGCTAAAGTAAACCTTCAGTTTAAACACTTTAACCAATTCGAAGTGAACTCACGCCTCCTTTGTATGTAGGCTGTTCGCAAATCTCGTGAAAATTTTCTCCAGTTAGAAGTGAATGAAGGGACTCAAATAAAAGTTCAAGAGCCGTTAGTCGACCATATGACATTCGGCCGAGTCGAAAACGGTCCCTGAAGGCAACAACTTCAGCGTAAGATCTCATATCAACACGAAAATATTTAAATTTGAGTAAAACCTTTGAAAACTGGACCTGATTAGGACTATTTTTGCTATTCCGGCAACAATGCGTGTGGTGAAGTCGTCACTGGACAGTCGTTTAATAAGGAATGAATCACCGAAATCACTATCTACATGGGCGCTGAATACTCTGAATCAAAATAAGTCCTTCTCAAAAACACGCCACTAGAATAAAGATCTAAGAGTTCATTCAACTGTTTATAGTGTTTGCAGTCACCTTTCCTAAAAAAATCCTTACAGATACAAAGTTTACCATTCTAAAACCATCTTATTTACATTTCACAGAGGTATTTCACAAATAGGGCGCGTGAAGAGCAGTGGTCGGAGCATCCTGCAACACATGTATGAGATCGACTTCCGCGCCTCTGGCCCAAAAAGTCTTCCATCCCTCTGGCAAATTGGTACCAGACCTGTCTGGGAGGATAGTAGCACGGGCTCGATACATCATTAGGCCATCGCGAGTCATTGTAAAGGATAGATATCCATCCAATTATCTTCAAACGACGCTTATTGAAATCGAATGCATGACGCGTCCCTCAGGGATAGATCAACGCCCATAGCTTTATCCCTTTTTTTATTTCACAAATACAGCTCTAATATCTTCTAAACATATCGATAGTTAGTTTCCTATACTTTTGATATCAATGAAGTTCCACACTGAAGTGACAACATCGCAGCAGCGAAAAAGTCATGAATATCTAATGCAATGAATGAATAGAGTCATGAAGAAATAGCAATCAGATTACTTGAGTATTTCTCTTCCAAAATCTGCCGCTCTTTCGCATCGAGCACAACGTTTAGCGTACCTGCAACGGTTTTATGTATTAACGGATCTAATACGTAATCCACCACTATAACGGTATGATGGACGAACTACGTACCGTACCACTCTGCAAGGAGGAGTACAAAGTGCATAAAAGACCCGCATATGGAACTGCATTGATAGCAAAGAGTCTATGAATAGTCTACAGCTAGCCAAACGACGGAGGATTCGGCCAATACGATAGTCCGGAGAGCGAATGAGTGAAAGATACGACAGCACTGCATTCTAAAAAGTTTTCCTGTGACTGCTGTAACAATAAATGGATGCTCCACACATGAAATCAATCCCTGCATACTTGAATACTTGGACGGCTCATCCTCACTGGTCATATGGTCCCCACCATGTTCTCCATTTGTCGGAGTTTTGCTGGTTTAGCCATCGTGGTTCCTTGGAGTGCAAAGGTCAAGCCTGCCAAAGTCTGCTCCAGGTCGCCACCACTACAGGCAGTCGTTGTCGTTATGGATCAGAGTGAGATTTGCCATCATGCGACTAGCTTGGTACTAGGAGGGTGATGGATCCTGGTACTGGTTTAACACCTTCTCAGCATGGGAGACCTTGCCGGAGGGATGACCTCCCCGCTGTACATCGTAGCCCGACACCCGGGAACAGCTACCAACCACGATGAGGCGGTAAACCATTTGGAGGGCCACTGCCATTATTAACAAGAATTAGCCGACAATTCCCACCACAACATCCTCTCGATTGAGATACGGCAAAATGGCATCCTCATGTGCTTGCCAAGTGAGTAGCCACAGTTCATCTTCAACTACCTGAAAAAAAAACGCACCTTAGCATTAAGAAATTGAACTACTCGCACCCTCTCTACTTATTCAATGTACGTAAAGGTGTTCAATAGTGAGAAAAGCGCGAAACCCGTTTATTCTAGTACATAAGTTCGACAGATCTCATCGAGTGTGAAGCAATGTTTCTTCGATGTTTTTAGCATCCCAGTTCAGAAGAATGCTTTTGCAAACATAAATGCTGCGTTGAAAGACCTCAACCATAGTATTTATTTACCCATCTTTCGGTTATCACTTACACAAGTACATTTGCCTATAACGAGTTTCTTTGAAGGAAAATGGTAAGTTAACATTTTTAGGGGTGTAACTGAAAGAAATTTCACGAAAACGCCATGCACACTAACGACATTAATCAGAGAATTTTAGAACATCTGAAATAGTAAAATAAAAACCTTAAAAGTGTTGGGCGTTCCAATCTTACAGAGATATGCCATACATTCGATTTCATTAGAAACCTCGACATGAATGAATGCATATTCGTCCCATACCCTGACATACGGTAGCCCAGTGGTGAACCAAATCAGTGGCTGACTCTCGCTAGTAACAGCACTACTCTGAGGAAGGCGAAGTCGCCGAAACATCAGCTATTAACCAACAACAACAGCAGCGACACAACAACAACAACAACGACAACTATATCAACCTCGCATCAGGTCGCTCAAAAAGATCAGCTCATAAGAACGTATAAATAAACAAAATTAGTGTTTTTATCCTTGCAACCTGGTTTCGTAACCACTCATCGACCCCTTAGATATAAATGGTTGGTATGCTCGACGCCTGGGATTCGACCAAAGAACAAACGGAATATCGGGATACTTCCGCCATTTGGCGTTCAAAATATGAAAAATAAATATGGTCTCACCGTACGTTCGCAACCATCATCAACGTTCGTTCCTCCCAGTTTCACTTCATCAGTATCGGGTGAGTCCAAGTCGCTGAGACAACTTCGACTCGAGTACGGGCTAAAGCTCATAAAGCAAATAAAAATAGAAACATGTGCATAAATCGTTGCGCTTACATGAGGTTGATAAATTAGTTTTATGCGGCTAACTTTTTCAACGTCTTCATCTTCATAAGGCGAACAGCTATGGACCATCAACTCGGATCGGAGGCTCTGATGAAGATGAAGACGTCGAAACGTTAGTCGAATAAAACTAATTCGTAAATCCCGTGTAAGCTCAACAATTTTTACACTTATTGATTATTTTACTACCGAAATTAAATGACGATCTGTTTCAACATTTCATCCAAGCACAACGAATGTTCAGCAACATCAATACGACCCATTCGTGCAAAATTTGCAGGAATGGCTAGACACATATAGTATATAACACCTGTGCCATATTAATCCCCCGAGTCGTCAAGTGTCACGAGTGAGTACCGTTAAAATAACCATTTGTTCATGTTAAGTAACATGATTACAATTTCACTCTCTCATTATAAAGAAACAGTATTATACTTTCTTTCTATGATATCCTAAAATCTTATTCTTTTTTGGTAAGACGATAGCCGTAGGTTGCTTTGCCGTGGAGTGTGCACATAGAAAATCTTTGGTTGTCGATCTCTTGTGAAAAAGATTTATAACTCATTTTCGGGGGGCAAAAAACCAACCTCCCACATATTTAACAGCCATTCTTCCACATTCTTCTGACAAAATTTGCACGCAGGATACCTTATGTATGTAAACAAACAGGTATACATATACCTGGATGTAATAACCTGTACAGAGAAAGTATAAGTAAATTCGATCCTCCTGAACCAGAGTATGCATCCCATATATTTACTCTGTCTCTGAACCAGTGTAAGGTTGTTCTAAGTCCTCGTTCATACACTTATGCACCACACGGATATGCACCAGTCGCGTCGTCGCTACAGTAACGTCGCTACAAACTACAAAATGCAGTTACCTTGCTAGCGTGATTGTGAATACCGAAGAAGGACTTCCAGTACCGCTTGACGGCGGACTGTACACAGGAGAACTTTGCAACGAACAACTTGACGAAGGTATGTAGTTTGCCTTTGATGAGGAATAGTCCTTATGAAGACGACAGGAACCCTTAAAATACCAAAATAACGATTGGAAAAAACTGGTTAAATTCTCACAAGTTTTTACAGATTGATTACGAGATAACAAGATCCAGAACTCTGCTTAATAAATCTTGAAGTGCCTAAATTATGGAAAAGTGAAGAGTTCAAGAAATATACTCTGAATGGTCAAAATACTGCCGAACCTCATAATATCCTTTTTTCTGAAGATCAGACTCAATCTCCATGAGCAGAGGGCTATCGGGACGATATTGATCCTCGTCGGAAATGATTTCAGGCTGTAATAAAGGTAGTAGACGTTTTTGAAGCTATCCGATAGTTCAGCGTCCAGTATCTTTTTCTACACAACTTTGACACCTCATCCAAACTTCCAGTAGGAAAAAAAACCGAGTGCGTGTAAATCACTCGGGTTCAGAACGAGTTTCAAATGAAATTCTCTTGGTAACAAAAGAAAAAACTGGAAAATGAGTATAGTTCCTATAAATAGAAAATCTTAGTTTCGGGTGTCCTGCACACTTTTCTGTACAAAGCTAGAAACGGATAAAACTCTCAGCGTTGATCAATCCCTGAAGGATGTACCGTGTATTCGATGTCACTAAGCATCACTTGGAGGTGATTGAATGCAGATCTGGCCCTTAGAATGACTTGCGGTGACCTACTGATCTATCCACCCAGTACACCTATCTTCCCGGATAAGTCTGATATCAATTTCCCGATCCCGGAGGGATGAAAGGCTTGGTGAACTACAGGCGCGGGATCGATTTCACGTGTGTATTGCAGGGCGCCTCCGAGCACTACGCTACACGCGCTTTTCTGCATAACATTTCAATATTAACATAAGACACAAAGAATTGTCAAGAACTCAGAAAAGCACGAAGTAGCTTCACATATTTGCAACAGCGGCCATTTTTCAACGGCCGTCAACGATTCTTTTCGATTGCTAAAGCTCTCGCGTAACTCAAAAATTTACAGGCTCATTGAAGAAGCCTCACCTTAATGTTCGAGGAGTGTATACGATTTTTGTGAAAAATCATTCTGATTTTGGATTTCCTAAAACTTCAAATTATCAAAAAGAGGAAAAGAAACTGAAATTTTTGAAATTTCTACGAAAAATGCGGTAGTCGAAAATGTCACTGATACATTAGTCAAATCTTGTTATGTGAAATCCCACTTCTTCAGTGGTTTCGCTACTTGGAACGTAAACGACGAAAAATCCGAAAAAGTACGTTCCGTTGGTTTCGATAGACCGGATTTTCATCTTCGTAGAATAAGAAGACTTTCATCTTGTTGGGAAATATCTGTAGGCTCTTGTTCTTAAGCTTTCCTCTTCCCAGCAGTTTTCCTTAGTTCGATTGCTGAGGTCCACAATAAGACGAAGTGTCTTCGTTTATGGTAGAAATGTTTTCGTGACGTGCGAGCTGATATCACTCCATTCTGTCATGAATGCATTGAGCTAATAGGTTGCAAGTCGAGAGCATAATGGCCGCTTTGCAAGAAAAGACTAACATGAAAGGATTTCCTTGTATTGAAGTTAGATGTGATAGTAGTACACCACAAGAACGTTCCCAGAAAGTTACCCCTTGTTCAACACCACGGTTCCACTATGTGAGCAGGCAACACATTAGAAATCCCCAAAGAAAAGCGCTAAGATCAATTCCTGTTGCAAAAGAAAGCAAAGCTGGGAAACTTTCATTACATACTCCACGAAACAAGAACCTAGAGATCGAAAAATTCAACGCATTACTCACCTATCAAATGCTAGGCAAGAAGTTCGTAATGCTGGTTGATAATCAAATGTGAAGTTTTAATTTAGTGGAGATAAAAGGAGACATCTGCATAAGTCACCTATTCTTTTCCCTAACACATCTTATGCGCACTGTAAATGATACTACTCACAGTTAGAGTGACACCTAAATCTGTGTGGCCGGCGCATCTACCTGCTATTTACTCCCCTAGGGCATTATTTATGAGTACATAACAATTCATACTGGCCCAATTGCGCCTTAGCAAACAGCTCCACCTTTTCCATTCATTTTGTCCTAAATCATTGTATTTTTCAGTGCACCTGCTAGTGCTTTCAGTAGCTACTGGTTCCCATCCTTTATGTTCTATGTGTTTCCCAACGTTTTTAAAAAACCCTCGCACTATTATGTCCGGCAAAAAAAATCTGGTTCGCTACGCAACTACGGTGCTGTCAGCATTTGATGCTCGCTTTCACAACGTATGAATCACATGTCAGCATTTTACACACATCCATTCTATAAGACAACCATGGTCCATTATAGTGAATGCAATCACGATCAATCACTAGCCAAAATTCATTTTTATATGGTTAACACATTGTAGACGATACTGGTTTCTCAACCACTTCCGATATTTCCTCCAAAACTAAAGTGCTTCAGGAGTTGAGAAATTGACAGGGCTATTCAACAAAATCCATATTCCTCTAAGTACGGCTTTTCCAAAGCGTTATATTAATAACTCCAAAGAACTGAAAAAGGTTTTCGGAATTTTTTGGTCCTAAAACACGTGTGCAGCTGTAAACACCAACGATGTATCGAGAGAATTCTGCTCGCCCAAATTTACATTGTTCAGTCGATCTGCGGCTCTAGTTAGTGGCTATGAAACCTCTGTGTTAACTTCACAGCAACAAGGAAGGAAGAAAGGATCAATAGTTACGAAACTCGCTCTCTCTATAATGGGACGAGATAGCATTAAAGCCAAAAAATTGAGCTTCTTATTCCACAACCTCAAGAATGCTCTAGAGCACTCACCCTAATGGCGTGTAAGGCAACCACTTTCTTAAGAAGTTGCTACCGTTTTTTCCTATGTCCGTGTGATTACTTGTTCTCCTCGCCGTTGCCACTTTTGTTAGAGTAACTAACTAATGCTCTGCGTCATTCATTACCTAAGCAGTTTTTGCATTTCTTTATGATGTGGTAGTGCCTAGGTTTATATTTTTTTTGAGGAATATAGTGTTAAATAATGTCAGTGAGGAATTAGATTTCGAGAGTCCTCATCGAGAGTGATTATGAATGTTGACATTGGAAACACTGGGGCCAACGAGGACTAAAGCAGCTCTTGTAATTCCCGCCTCAAAGTATACAAAACATGAAATGGTACTATCTGCAATAGGATTTTCATTACCAGTTTGTAGATTGCTGTTCTAAATAAAAATAAAGAAGAAAGAGGTATCTACGGCCAAATTTTCCTGTCCTTGAATGCGTGAGAGGCGTGCATGCAACTTGTGGGAGAGGCAGTGCAGCCAACAAACTTACATCGAAGACCCAGCTTCGAGATTTGCAGATTCCAGCTAAACTTGGGGCTTGTTTCCATTTTGTCCACAGTCCTATCCTTCCAGCTGGTTCATTGAGAAGTTTAGTTAGTTTATGGCCCACTTATGGTTATAGTTCATGGTTCACTACTAGTTTTCGAAAACATGACTCGGGAAAATGAAGCTTTGTTATGATTAGCTTCGCCTGTGACTTCCATTCACAAATTCGTTTCAGTTTCCAATATTCCAGAAAAGCAAAGCCTGGTTGAAAAGATAGGAACGTGTGCACAACATTAGCAGTTCACTTTCATGCATTAAAATGCAATACCACATCTCCACTTTATTAAGACAGACAAATAACATAGTCCGGTATAGAATAAATTTGCATACTTTCACCAAGAGCTGGAGTCATTACCAACATGCAGTCCCCTATCTTTATGAACTAACCTTGCACAGTACTCCTGATTGTGAGACGAACTCTGTCACATCTTTCACCACTGTGTCGACAAACACACGATTAGAAACCAAGTGAGCCATACCTAAAGAAATTCGTAACAAGAGTGACTCTTGCTTTCTGCTTTAAAAGCTCTAAAAAAGCCCTCCGCGTTGATCAATCTCTGAGGGATGCGTCCTGCATTCGACTTCATTAAGGGGTGATTGAATTCATATCTGGAGTTTAAAATGACTCACGGTGGCCTACCGGTGTATCGAACCAGTGCTGCTATTCTCTCAAACAAGTCTGGTATAATCTGCCAACCCCTGGAAGCCCTGGTGATCCACAGTCGCGGGGATCAATTCCATGTGTGTGTTCTTGGGCGCCTCGGACCACTGCGCCACAAGCGCTCGATATTTGTTCTCTACTTGAAAGTTGAATATAATGCTGCAGTTATATAAATATGTTCGCGGTGAATGTATTGCTGCGATTATTTGAATGTTTCCAATAAACAATTTAACTTAACATATCGCTTTTCTGCTAATAATTTCTGTTTGATCCAATGAAGGCACACAGGTAGCGGAAGTGTAACAACTATACTATTTTTTCTCGAAAAGCTTGCAAAAAAATGTATAATTCAATTATACAATACCATTAATATCATGCACGAAGTGATGAAGCGGTTGTACAATCGCAAGACGATCTTTTGAACGGAAATCAATTGAAGACAGACGAGAGATGAGGAAATCGAGAGCACCTGATTCGCGGAGATCAGCACGTCCCCATGCTTCCTATAAGCACACACTGAGCTAAAAAAATGAACAATTTTGTTAACAAATGATTAGTCCCTTATAATGACTGGCCACCGAAGTGCGGTAAATAGCGGTATACAGCGGGGTATTCACACAGTATTCATACACGTAGAGGATCACTCGCAGGTGGGTGTAGGAGTTCAAGATTTCCATCTTGAAAGTAAGAGAAGCCTGGATAAGATTAAACTTAAACCAGGAATTGCAGACCTACTAAAGGAAATTTAGTCGCATGGAGGCAATCCCTCCACCGATATATAAGATTTGGCGATTGTTTATGGATGGCCACCTGAGGACGTATTACAGTGGACTTTTTCAGGAAAGAATATCGCTAAACGAGCAACGCGCCGCCTACATTGAACTTCTACTGCCATATGCACGATTGTCCTTGAACACAGGCCTTAAGAGCATCGGTTGACAAGTTGTAAGCGAAACTAAATACAGAGGTAGTGGAATCACGTTGTGTTAAGAACTAATCCTGAATTTTTGACCTTCGATGAAACATCAGCAAATCACTAGAACCATACCGATAACAATTCGTTGGCCCAATGCACTACAGGCAGTCTTTTCTCTATAGGTAATCATTCAAATAAGTGTCGATAACAAGACTTTCCAATAAGGCGACCTTCTTAATATTGAGGTACAAGAAATACGGCCGACAACCTTGTTCCTGCATGAGTTCCAATATGTATGTTGCTGAGAGTTCCACAGGTCATAGTCTTTATCATTAGATCACGAAGCGTATGTATTAAACTCAGTGACCGGAACTGTTACAAAACTACCTATTTATAATTCGAAACTACTGCTAAGGCAGCTTTCAGAAGTTTTACACACCTTAATTCGCAAAATTTTTATGCAGATGACCTAACTCATAAAATTTGACAAGGACCTATGGAACGTGCAAATGCGTACCTGGGCAAAAGCAGTCAGGAGTTTACAGTTGGAGATGCTATCATTAGCCGATTCAACAATCCTCTGAATTGCACGAGCTTCACCCATCCTTAATTTGATCAAAAGCTACCGTGATTAGGTAAGATTAAAAAGGCAGCTCAGTAGAATTTTTTCAAATGTTTTCATGTTTTTGACTAGTTTTCTTCCATATTTTTAATATAAAATTAAATTAGAGGTCCCATTTTTAATGCACTTAGATGGAACACACCTGTCTCTTATATCCGCTGAACCCTTACACAGCATCAAAACCAGTTCCTTTGCTCCATATACTTCGTCGTCAAAGAACAGTTCAAGCAGGCGTTCAGCACAGTCACTGTAACACACTCCCATTGACTAAAAAAAGCCTGTACTAGATCTATATGGAAATTTTTACTCTTAATAAAGCCACTTGTTGAGTGGATCTGTTCCGCCTGCTTTTTTTAATTTTTATTTTTATATAACCCGTCTTCACGTCTATTGTATGGATTCCAACACTTCCCACACTCGATTCGCTTCTTCTCATCCATTATGCACGAAGATCTTCGAACTTTTACGTGTGACTTCCGTTGCTGCTCGAGGATTTTCATTTCACCTTGAATGTTGTAGTATTCTAGTCGAGTCGACTTTCCCTGGAGTCTTGATATAGATGGGCTGGAGCGTCCCAATTGGATTACAGAGAGTGACTTTTGCCCGAAGTCCGATATCAATTTCCGACAACGGAGGGACAAGAGGATTGATTGACCAGGAGCAGAATCGAACTGGCACCATGCTCGTGATGACAGACATCACCACCACTGTGCTATCCGCCCCATGATTTGATTTCTGTCAATAGGCATTGACTTTGCCACTCCAAATACTTCTTTCCGTCAAAAAAATTTCTAGGTTTTCTTTGGAATGCAAATATCTTTAACATTAAGATTTTAACGAAACTTGAGCTCGATCCAGGATTCTCTATTACTACCTACTACGCTACCATTATTACAACATGTGGACGACCAATCAAAAGGAATCATTTGTCCAATGTATTGTTCATAAGATAAATTTTGGGGAAGCATGTAGCGCAATGGAAAGAGGTAACTACCCTACACTAAACACGTGGTCGTTGGTTCGATTACGCGTGCCAATCTAAACGATCCTAAACATTCCGGGATCAATAAATCAGTAGTAGCGCTGGTTTAATAGATTGGTAGGCCACTAAATGTCATTGTATAAGCCAGATATGCATTCAATCACCTCTGCGAAACCTGATGAAGTCGAAAGCATGGTGAATTCTTAAGCCATTGGTCAACGCCGGAAGCTTTGTCCGCTATCCCTGTCCATAAACTAAATTCCCCAAGTCTCTAAATCTTCGCTAGCACTGAATTATCCTTTCATTGAGTAAGAACGGACGTAGAATAAGGTTAAAGCACACCACTGTTCGATTTCGTGTAGTTACCTTCTCCTCATTATTTTTTCCTCTTTTTTTCCATCTGATTTTCACCAGTACTAAACAACCTTTTCTTTGAGTAAGTACGGACGTCGCCTGTATAACCTGATTATAACATATCACTCTTCAATTTCGTATAATTGCCTTCTCCTCATCACTTTTCCTTCTCTTTTCGACTTACCTTTCTGCTACCTGCCTACCAGTATCTCTAACTCGTTTACGTGCAAGTGCAGTCAGAGCTTCCACCACATCACCACTATTTCTCCTACTAGTAAGCATCATTCCCAAATGAAAACCAGCATTTGATAGTAGTACGACCTGAAATGAGAAACATATGTTTCTGTCCACACTGCAAAACCCCACCCAGCAAGCAACACCAGATTTCATCGATCGAATTTGGAAACGTAAACACGAACTGAGCGATTACCGAGCACCACCGAGGCAAGGTGCTGAACTCCTTCTCGATTCTACACCAAACCAACCCTCTACAACTACCAACGCTCTCTGCACCCCTCCATTGCTCTAAGCGCCCTGTCCAACATGGGCACGTCCTGGACTCACATGATTCCTCTGCGTCACTGCCCTTGTCGTCTACCCCTGCACGCTCACCCCACGGTTCGCAAACAATCTGCCACCGTCACCTGATGAAACCGCCTATCACTCAGGTGCAGATAACACCTCCTTTGGTGGACACCTCGAACTGCAACTAACGTTGTCGGTAGACGAAGATGGTTCAGATGGCTCATATGGCTCACCATCTACCTCTGGACAACGTTCGATCCCATTCCGTGGTGGTTTCCTCGAAGATGTTACCCAGTCCTTATACGTACCATTTCCATGCAATATCCCTTAACTGAAAGTTTCCCTACATCCAGTTGGCAGACTTTCGTACATTGACTCGGTTATTTTTTCTAGTTACACAATAAGATTAACAACCTACTACAACGTCATTGATGGTGTCAATTTTCCTGGTCAAAAGGGAACCTTTCTGTAGCCGTTGTCCTTCGTAGCGTAGTGGTCGTAGAGCACTGCAACTAATCAGACCCAGGCGAAATTGTCCGCTTCTGGATTGTGGGTCCATCAGTACTTGTGTGCACGATTGGCGCGTTACGTATCGAGTAGATCGTCCATTATCGTTTTTCGCTCTGCCATCTCTAACAAAATTCTTCATCTAATTGGTACATCTTGCAGTAACTGCCACGACCGACTTTCTATTAACCTCGGCATTGATCAAGTGATTTTCTTCGTATTTTTGTTGAGCAAACGCGAGGTGTTACTATTCTTTGTTCACGATTAAACTGACGTTTCGGCGGATTTCGCCTTCTTCAGAGCCGCTTTCTATGAGGTTTCCACTAAGTATGTCATGTAGAGACCAACCGCACAGAAATCACGTGGAAGTATAATGTGTATATATAATATAATATAGTATATAATTATACTTCCACGTGATTTCTGTGCGGTTGGTCTCTACGTGACATACTTAGTGGAAACCTCATAGGAAGCGGCTCTGAGGAAGGCGAAATCCGCCGAAACGTCAGCTTAATCGTGAACAAAGAATAATAACACCTCGCGTTTGCTCAACAAAAATACGAAGAAAATCTCTTCATCTAATGTTTACAAGTACTCTTGTTGACGTAGGCCAACCAACTGATTTTTGGATTTCCCTGCATCTAATCATACAGTTTATACAGATCGCCAGAAAATCTAGTGTCATGTCTGTAATGGCAGAAGACGAGATGAAAGCGGGACACCTTCCAGCAGAGCGTGTTGGTGGACGTCGGATTGTGAACAAGAAAGTAAATATCTTTGTGTTAGTAGAAATATTATTGTTCCGAAATTTATACGAACATAATTTTCTAGGATCGTCGCCAATCGGAGACGGAACGGACTTCTTCAGAGAGTTCAGATGAAGCCGGTCGCGAGGTGACGGTTAAGGACAGCAGTTTACCGGCGCAAGTATGTTTTTTCTCCGAATTTCAGCATTTTTCTTAACTTGATTTCTTCAACAGATGGAGAAGTCGTATCCAACAAGTGCTGTGAGACATTACCACGATAAACCACAGCCGACGCATCAGCCTCATTATGCTAATCCTCCGTGTCATACCAGTGGTCATATCTTCCAACCCAAGAAGAACTGCTAGAGAGCTGTCGAAACGTTCCAATTGCTAACCATCGTTTCTTGGATTCCGTTCTACTTTGTCGTGTAAATGTCTTATCGTATTTCCATATATTTAATCATGGAAATCAAAGCCGTAATTTGTAAGTCTTGGATATTTGCCGTACACGCACCTGTCTAAAGTTCGACCTTTACACTTTAAATACGTTTCGATTTACATTCCTTATTTATCTGTTTGGTTTATGGGTTTTTGCATTGTGGATAAATTTGATTTTATGGGTCAAAAATATGTCTCCAACGTTGATACCAATGCGACATTCTAGGTCACAGTTAAAAGTTCCTTTAAACCAACTGAAGTTTACAGCTCTCCACATCAAATCCCTAGTAATACCATCCTTTCACTATAGAAATAACAGTAAGCGGAAAATTCCACATGTTCGGAATTCGGGATGAAGCGTACACAGTTAACGGGGTGTTCCCTACTGGACCTTTTCGGTTAATCGATTCAATTAGTGCAGATTGAGGTGAAGGAACCTCAGTTTAAATAACTCATCGAGTGCACATTACTTACTAAATTATAAGTGATTCAACTGAATACAAGGTGATTCCAGAACGAGCCAAACAAGTAAGTGGGAGACCTGTATCATGGACGCGGAGGACTTCTCCAGCTCAAATTAACCGTTCTCTTCAGGGCAGTTCTCACTACATAGATAACTGCTGCAGGACAGTTTTGGCGTCCGCATGGCTGGCATAGCACATTGACGGCACAACGCTATCTTAGAAAGTAACTTTCAAGTTTTGTCTTTTAAAACTTTTGGGACTCGTTTGCAAGAAGGGCATGTAGAGCCGAACACACATTCTCCTTAGTGTGTTAGTCGGATATGGTTTTTAAAATTTATCCTATTGATCACAATAGACCTAAAAAGCTCCCAGTATTCGACGCAAAACACCAGTTGGCTAGTGTGTGTCCACTTTGTGCGGGGAGACGCATCGAAGCTTGCAAGTGGGTTTAAGGCCTTCATCCACTAGTCGTCGCCAGTGATTAAAAGACTGAGTCACACTTTGTTTTGCAATTTGAAAAAGGTTGTGCCTCATCGTTATAGGAGTTACGCTTCATGTTCCACAGAAATGTGGACACCCGCTCACAGATCATACTTGAAAACTACGATTTCGTAATTTGGACCTAGTGAAGTGCAGTTATCTTACAGATCACTGTATAATACTCGCACGCACCACCATGCTCGAATAAAACCACCACCACGAACGACGACTGCGAAGAAAATAAACGAATGGCAAATGCGCTGGGGCTTACGCAACCCGTGAAGACGGACCGTCCAAGTAACCAAGTATCCTACTGAACACAGAGATCATGTAGGACGGAAATGGTCGGTGTTGACGGTATCGTATTGTCGAATCAAGCAAACCATTTGGGATCCCCATTGATAAGGCAACTTAAAGAGAAACATAGCACATCTTATAGTTGTTTTAAGCAGTTGAATAGCCAGAGTCGAAGGTTAACGTCATAAAGACGTAGACATGTCTAAGTGTCGTATATTCTATGTAACCTCTACTACATTTCTTTGCCCTATCCCAACCATAGTCTTTGGTAAAAAGCGTGATGCGCTGAGACCCTCCAAAAAAAAAGTGGAAATGAAGGCTTTCGTAGGAAAGTGTGATACCTTCCTTATCCTTGTGCGAACAAATTCTATGAGGTAGCCTTGACATGCGGCATGGAGGTGCTCAGATAGGATTTATGTTTGTTTAAGCCATTCAGATTCGCAATTTTCAATAGTCTTTCATGCATTACAATTAAAGTGTTACTATGAAAAGTAGTTCCGTACCCTAAAACAAGTGCTAGCGATGAGACCTCGAATTGCACGAAGAGCTTGCGTAGCAGTATTAGCATCGGCTTCAAGCATTAGTACCAGCCGGTCGACGAGAGATGGATTTGAGGCGATGCATAAAGCAGGCTCCTGGACAGGATAATTGCATGATCAAATCCAAATTCGAAAATGACACCCCAGAATTAGCTCGTTTTTTAGTTTTATGCCGAAGAACGACTGTTCATAATTTAAAACTTTTCCAGATAGGAATTGTTAACGACTTAAACACATGCAAGTTCTAAATTCAATTTGCTAACAATTATAGTAACATGGTGTAAATAGTAGAAATACGCCTACCTTGTGCCAACACATGTTAGCGATAAGACGAGCCAACGATGTTTTGCATTCTTTTCTCACAGTTGCACTCTCGAAAATGCGCACTGCAACGAGAAATCTCCTTCGTTTGCTTCTCATGTATTCTAATAATATTAACGAAAGCAAGGACGCGCGTTGCGGAGTGGTCGGAGGCGCCCCGCAATACACATAGGCTCGACCCCAGCGCGAAAGACTCACAAAGCCCTCCATACCTCCGGGGTCGGCAAATTAGTACCGCGCGATTCTTGCATAAGCCCGATATGCATTCAATCACCTCTAACGGTTTTTAATGAAGTTGAATGCATGGCGCATCCCTTAGGAATTGATCAACGCCTAGAGCTTTATCCTTTGTCCTTTTAACGAAAGTATATGTTCTTCACATTTTACTACACCACGCAATTATCAACTGTTTAGCGTCTCAAGTTGAGTTGCCAAGAAGCTAAACCTTTCCATCGCGAAGCTCAGCGGAGTAGATCTGTCACAGTTGAGCGGCGCAGTGGGAGCATAGTGGCTCGTGGTGCAGTCCATCAGAAAGCAAGGTACTAGTTCGACCTCTCACCAATGCTCTCCTCCAATATATGTGGGAAGGTCTTATTTCGGCTACCTTTAAGATAAGATTAAAAGGACGACCGAATTGGCCAGCTTCTACGACGTTCGTAGAGGAGACGAAATCCTCAAGCACGGGCCGAAACGACGTGCGAAATGATCGTAGACCTTTGCATACGATGAACGCGAGGAAAACTAATGGAATGCAAGAGGTGGTGGAACCCGTACAGTAGACGTGATGACGAGTCATGTAACGTAGGTGAAAAACGTACGTGAAATCCGCTTAGTAGGTAGAAAAATTTAGATCTTTCGAAGAATTTTCCATCCTTCGCTTAAAATGTTTTCATAGACATGCTTACTGTTTCAGTTTTCACTTAGACATAGACTGAAAGCTATGCCTGTATTGCATTTTCCTACTGCCTTCTTAACGGCGCTTGTCTTTCAACTGGAAAGATCAAGCGTGATATCTGTTAGGTGTGTTAGAGAATCAGGTTGAGCCGGGATACTAATCTGCATCTCAGAAACTCCATTTACTTGACATATTCCCTAAAAACTATTGCCTATTCAAGAACCTGAAACTCTTCCTCTAGGATTGAGTCATCCACTCATTTGAGGGAATGCCTTGCTCATAGTTCAAATAGATTGAGGGGAAGGAATACTTTCTTACTCGATTTTCGAATGGCTAAAATTTTGAATAGTTCTCTTTCAGAAAGAAAAAGTTTTTGACTTGACTTGGGCATCTAAATCCTTCGACCATATATTTTCATGAACACTGAGAGTCCCCACACGTTTTCCAGTCGCTTCGCGTCAAAAAGTGTGTCTAACAGAAATCCATTTATTCGTATACTCATTTCAACCTATTCGAGAAATTTCGTTAGCGATTGTTCCGATACCCACACTTTGGAGGAACATCCATGGCGAGATCATATTACCCTATGTGTTTTATAAGCTACTGCCATCTTATTCGATTTTCTACCTAAGTTCTTTCATCGTGCTATTATTACAAGTTCTCCAGAAACTTCTGGTTGGTAGCGATTAGCAAACCTGCGATCTTTGTTGGAGTTGAGAGAACTTTAGTTGTCTAAAGCTCCCAACCAGCCTGGTAGCGATGAATGCTCTCCGAACTTACTCACTAGGAACATTTTTCACACTTTTTGAGGCCTTTATCGAGTGGATCAATGTCCTCCATCAGACCTCTTGTGATTTGCGAGAAGAAAAATCAGTGTCGGCGGCAAAGACGAAAATGGTTGGAAGACGTCTCGCACAGAACGGTCATGCCGTAGACGATTCTGTTTCTATGAGTTGGTGGTTCGGTGACTATTATTTTCGACGCTGATACTCGGGTATGACGGGCTAGGCGATGGGCCTGGTATAAATTAGGGTCATGACTAACGGACAGATGAACAATACTGCCTACGTCACAGACATTTCGTAATGGAACCTTATCTAGATCGATAATAGAGACTCCATTATTTAGTTGGATAATTTCGGTCTAGCTACTGGTTTTCTGTAGGATGAAGAGGTCAAAGCTGATGTAAGCTTGACCTTCAGAGGTCACAGAACAACTGTTCGGTTTGGTTAACTGCGATGTTGCAAACTGTTGAAAAATATTATCTTGTGAGTAATTCCCACGATCGACTTTCTATTAACCTGGGTCAAATAGTTCTCGATATTCCTGTTGAGCAAACACGAGGTCTTACCTTATTCTTCATTCCATTGCCTTCGGTGCTGGGAAGCCGATACTGCCGAAACGTCAGCTTTGACGGAGTAAAGGATAAATTAACAACTCGCGTTTGCTCAATAAGAATATCGAGAACTATCTTGTGAGTGTCACGTGATTCGGTTCCCATGACATCGTGTGAAAACTGAGTTTCGGTCGCCTGTTACTGGTTGCTTCACATCTTGAAAATAGAGAGAGGCACCTAATGTGAGGTGTGCCAAGGCTGGCTGATTCCTTATTGAGCCATTGTTTTTTCTTCAAACCCGATGTAGCTTTGCTAGGATATCCCAAGTAGTAGCCAAAAATGGTCTCCTACCCTTGTGGCATTTTTTCCTTCAACAGTGCTACTAAAGCTGTAGGCAACTCTGTTTTTGTTGTACTGAGGGACACCCCAGATTTGAGCACATCGAGGTTGCCACTGTCGCTGACTACGAATAAAGAGCAGCTTTCTTTTTTTGAATGAAGTTTTCAAGACTGGCAAGTGGTCATGTTCGAAACGTTGTGAATTTCGTTGTTGTATTGCTTTGGATAACATTTCAAGCAAGTCATGACTTCGTCAGGATATAGCTCGTACTATGAGGACGACAACGTATTGTAAAGAATGCTTTCACAAATGCAATATTGGGATCATTTCCGTAACCGCAGAAAATTGCGCTTTCTCGAATAGGTTAGATGAATCACATTGGATTCTCTGTGTTTCTCCTGCAGTAATAAAAAGAATGCATACGGTATGCATAGGACAATTTGACTCACAAAGGATAAGAATAAAGCTCTCAGAGTTAATCAATCACGGAGGGATGCGCCATGCATTGGACTTAATTAAGCATATTGGAGGTGATTGAATGCATACCTGGCCTTTACAGTTTCTCCCGATGGCCTACCGATGTATGCAGCTAGTGCAGTTCTCTTCCCAGACAAGTTTGGTACCAATTTGCCGACCCCCGAAGGATGGAAAGCTTGATGAGTCAAGGATGCGGGATCGATCCTAAGTGTTGCAGGGCGCCTCTGACCACTGCACCACACACGCCTCTTAATTTGACTCATAGCGGCTTAAAAATATCTCATAAGGTATGATGTAAAAACAAGCTGTTTGTGATGAACATTCTAAATAGTACACTTCTGAAGATGAATAACCTACTGAAAAACCTTAACCAAACATTAAAATATTCGGATTTTTTCACGTATCTTATATATTTCACGTATCGCGGACCTTCACGTATATAAATACTAGTGGGTCGTCTGAAAAGCAACCGTTGGCAAAAGCCATCAACCCTGCGCTATATAGTGCACTAAGGGAGAGAAGCATGGTTGATCTTTATCAACTAAGTGAAAATACGTATCCCTTCACTGATAACCTGCATGACGAAGTTGATAAAATCATGTAAAAATGTGAACACTGTTGGCATGTTTATATAAACGATGTCTCCGAGGTTGATCAATCTCTGAGCAATGCATCATGTATTCTACTTCACCAAGTATCGCTGGAGGTGATGAATGAACGCAAATCTGGCCTACATAAAAGTTTTGCGTTGGCCTACTGATGTCTAAAGTCGGTGGTATTATCCTTCCAGACAAGTTTGGTAAAAATTAGCCGAACCCGGAGAAAAGGAAGAGTTAGGGAGCTGGGGTGCGGGATCGAGCCAACGACATGTTTATTGTGGCGCGTCTGTAAGCACCGCGTGTCCTCACACATACAATAAACATCTAGTATGCAGTAAGAGCAATCCTTAATTATGACCACTTTAATAGTAAAAGCGACCACATTGAAAGCAGTCGGGATCCTCAAAATCCAGGACTGTATAGCGTACGACCTGTATTAAGTGCGCTCAACGAACCACAAACCCTATTATTCTCAATCACATAAAACAATGATAATAGATGGAGGTCAACTATATAAGCAGACGACAGAAATACGCATAACCAGGTACATTTTTACTGTATAAAGTAGATCGGCTCCAAGTTTAGTAGAATTGGGTAACATAAGGATTTTTTAGGCATTATCGAATTCTAAAATGCCTTCTAAGTAAGACAATAGTGGCTTAATGCGGCCATACTCTAACTTAACTTTAATAGACTGCTGGGGTGCAAAGAATCAGCTTCGCATCACCTTTGACCGACTTCAGTTAGAAAAGATATCATTAGAACTATCTTCTCACTGATGCGTAATACTTCAATACGCTATCTGAATGGGTAATAATGTCGCTAAGCTGGAACTAGAACTGGAGTGTACGGAAGGTCCTTAGAAATTCTTGCGGCCAACTACAAGTTATTTTTTTGCAGAGAGTTAATGTAAGTTATAAGGTGTTGGCCAGCTTAGTTGCTGACAGAAGTACATAAAAGGAACAGTGACATGAACCACACCAGTACAAGAGTGGTCGAGCTGGTGCACTCGTCTCTGACATATAAAGGAACTCTACCTCATATTAGGCATGGACTAACAGAGTGGTAGTGATGTCGATCATCACGAGCATGATACTAGTTCGATTCCGTTCTAGACTAACCATCCATTCGGGGTCGGGAATTGGTAGCGGACTTGTCCGAGAAAAATCACTCTACAATCCAACTGGGAACGCTCCAGTGCGGTTATCTCAGGACTCCAGAAGGAATCGACTCGACCAGCATTCTACGACATTCAAGACGAAATAAAAATCCTCAAGTAGTAGCCGAAGCCACACATAAAAATTGGAAGATCCTCGTGGATAGTAGGAGCGAGGAAACGATTCGAATGTAAGAAGTGCTGGCATCTGCACAACAGACGAGACGACGGGTCGTACAAAAATAAAAAACGATGTAAACGGATAAAAGGATAAAGCTTTCGGCGTTGATCAATCCCTTTAGGGATGTGCCATGCATTCGACTTCATTAGGCATCATTGGAAGTGATTGAATGCATATCTGGCCTTTACAATGACTCACGGTAGCCTACCAATGTGTCGAGCCAGTGCTGCTCTCCTCCTAGACAAGTCTGGTACCAATTTGCCGACCCCAGAGGGATGGAAGGCTTGGTGGACCATGGGCGCGTGGATCGATTCCACGTGTGTGCCGCAGTGGCGTGGTTAGAGGTGTCTTTGGGAGTACTGTCTGGTTGTCTGGTTTGTCTTGTCTGGGAGGATAGCAGCACTGGCTCATCGTAGGCCATCGCGAGTCATTGTAAAGGCCAGATATGCATTCAGTCACCTCCATCGATACTTAAAGAAGTTGAATGCATTGCGCATCCATCAGGGATTGATCAACGCCGAGAACTTCAACATTTTGAAAAACAATGTAAGGGAAAAAATGGATGTGCTGGGGCTTCATGAAAAGTCTGCAGTACTATCTATTAGAACGTTTACGTTTGAATGTTACTTACTGTTCGAGAAGATATGTGTGTGTAAAAGCACCTGCAATGTGGGGGAATGATGTTCTCTGTGCCGCCATTTTTAAACAAGCTGTAACCGAATAGTTGCAGCAATTCGCGACCACACTTATCGACTCTTTCAGTACAGCCATCCATACTTCTCTGAAAAGAAAAAAATTTCGGTGCTTTTCAAAACAAGAAAAAAGAAAACCTCGAAGACTAATAGTTCACAATGTGCCATGCACTTGAATATTGTAAAGGTTCTAAACAGTATTAGCTACTAACGGCTTGTTGCCAATGTCAGTAGCAGATTTAACGAGTAGTTCAACAACTAGCGAGAAATGCTCCGACGTCCGCTCATTCATAAATTGCTCGACAGCGGCTTTACTTCTCAGCGATGATTTTAGTCGAGTCAAGGCCTGCACTATGACTAGTGGATCCTGGGAGCTTAACTCATCCAGCGTCATTTCACTGATACAATGCGAAGAGGCCTCTTCTGTACGATTTGAGCACTCATTACTCGAGTCGGATACTCCGCAATCAAGTCTGATACGCTTCGCCTCCATCTGTAAAGAAAATTCACCTTAAAGCAACGTAAACAGAATAAAATCATAACCAATAGAGCATGAGTTTCACGATTAACTGAAGGGGTACAGAATAACGGCTGCAGCACTGCCACTTTTTTCCATCATAAGCTTTCGCATAAACACATCATATTAACCCATTCGCGATAAGCGCAATTTTTCGTCGGCTCTGGGCTTGTCGGCTTTTCGGAAATAAAAACGTAATTATTCAATAACTAGAGGATTTGAGAGGTTATGAACATGGCAACACTGTAGAGACTTTCGTTCTATATAGAATATGTAGAATATGTAGAACATGAATGACATTGATATGAAGGGCGTGCGTGGCGCAGTGGTCGGGGGCGCCCTCCAACGCACGGCGGATCGATACCCGTGTCCCAGGTCCACCAAGCCCTTCATCTCTCCGGGGTCGGCAAATTAGTACCAGACTTGTCTGGGAGGATAGCAGCATTGGCTCGACACATCAGTAGCTCACTGCGAGTCATTGTAAAGCTAAGATATGCATTACATCACCTCTAACGATGCATAGTGAAGTCGGGGGCATGGCGCAACCCTCAGGGATAGATCAATGCCAAGAGCTTTATCCTTTTTTTCAGCTTTCACTTTCATTTATTCACCTTTCTTTGAAAATTCGCCTTCTTCGCGAATATCTTTGATATCTAAATTTCAGTAGAACTGTACGAAAGCATACACGAAGAGTATCGCTTATAGCTTAACCCATAGCGGACATGCGCCGTTTAGAAAGGCTCTCCAAATGAAATTTCTAGAAGAGACTTTGCCCTGTCGTCCTATGGGTACGAATGGTATGTATGATGTACTGTGTAGTACTACAGTTCATTATGCAAATACATTGTTGTCAGCACTTGGAAATGTTTTGCACCCTATGTCGAGACTAGTCCAGTGTATTTTTGCAGCCCCAAATTCCATACAGTGACCATAGTGATTAAAATGAAGTAGCAGTCAGTTGTTTGTCAACTTATCGGTCAATGAAACTTTTCCAATAAGAAGGTTCTTTAGAAATCTTTAAGCGTAGGGAATGGCTCTTCTGCTCTCACCACTCCTGCTTTGATCTGCTTTCGATTAGGTACTGACTATACACGGTATGGATATACTGAACATACAACTTGTGAAATCCACTGGACCGAAAATGGTCACTATAGTGTCCACAACGTCGCGAGTGGGTTAAATGTCTTAAGAGTCAGAAGTTAGGCTCTCCTTCAGTGGACTGGTTTCCCCCAATATCAGCTCTTCGTATGGACACAAGAAGCGCTGTTACTGGCGGTGATGTCGGTGTGCATGCATTGAAGTGAAGACCCTCCTCTTCGTAAGCTTCTAATGAACGACTTAATGGTGCAATAACATAGCAGACTGTACTACAACATCTTCTCTTCCGTCCTTTCATACAAACCTCTCGAATACATTCACGAAATGTGCATCTCACCGACGCACAAACCAACCAAATGTTTTCCATTCCAGATGCCGAGAGCCCTAACGCGCTCCAATGCACAATCCGTGCGCCAGCGCTGCAAGCGCGCCTATCCATTGCGACATATTCATACGGAATGAGTAACGTTCGACTAGCAGCATATCCTAACGCTAAGGATCTACTCTTCTTTGTTGATAAAAAAAATAAATCGACTAACCTCCCTCAGAGATGAAAACAACTATGGAGACGTGTTGATCTTCAGGAATCAAGGATGCATCATTGTATTTGCTCATGAACAGCGAACAGATGCGGGACAATGCGGCTATGACAGTAATGAGTTTGGCATTTATTTGAGCCGATGCGGATGTTCTTCGGTGGGAACTGGCCGGCAGAATCGATTTATTGACTGTCAAGCCGGCCGCTGGGTCAACGTCGGCGCGCGTGCGGTCGACGGCATCGCCGTCTCCGCGATCCACGTGCTCTCTGCCGCCGTGCCCCGTCCCACTGATTCGTCGCCCGCGTGTCGCGGCGTCGCAGCGCGTTCACCGTCCGTCGTTACGGATTCAAATTCTTCGCAACTGCAGAACCACGGCTCCCACAAGTGGCAGTTAGCAGTACGTACTAATCTGTAATGGAAATGGTGCTGTGGTGCAGTGCCCTGTTGATTTCCGATCATTTGATGTCATACTTGCATGGGCTCGTTTCCGGGCTGCAGCGTTTTGCGGAGTAGCGCTCAGTGCTATGTTCCATGTCTGTTATCTGCAACAGTATCATTTTAAATGTTTCCGATTGAGAAAAAACGCCTTCGTCTACGATTAATGGTAACTGCGGTCGAGTTTTGAAGTTGTAGACATAATATTTGCCCATTATTGCCACTTTAGAATCATTTGCAAATTGGCTTCGTAAAGTCCAATCTTTTAGAACAAGTCTAAGAAATACCGTGGTTCCGTTTGTCATTGCTAGGACTGATCTAGTGGTTGTCACGTAGCGTGTCGTGTTTCCTCGTCGAGGCAGGGATTTCATGAAGGAATTTGCTGTTGTTTTGGGCAGTTCGAGATGAGCACGAAGAGGAAGCGCTCGGAAGACGCTGCGGAGAACTCGCCATCAGACGGGACACCTGCCCTGAAGAGGAGGAGAGGTCGAATCACTGCCAAGGAGAAGGAGCGAATATCTCAGGAGGTGAGGCACTGGTTCCCTTTTTTCTTTGCTCTTTGTTCTGCTTTCTTTTGTTAGTCTTTCCAGAAAAGTGGTTTTTTCCTGCTTCCGAACATTTTTTCATTGAATTTCTTGTACATGTAATATTTTGCCTTTTTTGTTCAATTCATCTCCCAACAGTTTACCGCTCCATCGTGGCTGGGAGGCGTTCCTGCGTGTCGGGCTGCGATGTATAGCAGTGGGATTCATCTCTCCCCTCCCTCTCCTGGCAGGGTCTCCCAAACAGGAGTTCGGTGTTTCCATTAGGAAGCGCAGCTAAAAGTAAACTAGTACTAGGATCCACCACCGTTCTAGTATCAGGCTAGTCGCACGTTGGCAAATCTCCTTCTGATCCACAAGGACGGCGAATTCCTGTGGTGATGATGACCTGTGGGATATTTTGGCTAAGCTAACCCAAGGACTCTAGGGACCACAATAGCTTAACCAGCAAAACTTTGATAAATGGAGAATATCATGGGGACCGCACAACCAGCGAGGGCGGAGCGTTCAAGTATTTATTTGAAATCTAGCCTTTTCTATACAGACCAAATGTGCCAGTTTGCAGCTATTCAGCTCCTTCTTTCATCAAGTTTTTTGAAGTTCGTGTTTTTGTCTGTTCAAGTCATGTTTGCCATGGTTCTTTTACCTTTAGAATCGCAAAGCTCAGGGAGTTTTTGATGTATTGAGACAACATACTGATAGTGACAACAAGCTGCTGTCTGACAAATTTGTACGCACTCCCTCTCGGAGGTATGACTGGTAGTTATATAATGCCGTTAAAATATCGGAAATTGCCATTGTATGCTTTTTTCTCATGTTAGGTTGTTCTAGGGCAGAGCCTGACTACTACAAGCAGGTAAAATCTCCTATAGATTTTACAAGAATTCAGCAAAAGCTGAAAACCGAGGAATATCAGTCGTTCGAAGAATTTTGTGAGGACTTCGAACTCCTTGTAGACAATACAAGGAACTATTACAAGGTTTTTTTTAGATGGAATTAAGCCCTTGCTTTCCTTTTTCATATATCTGTAAATAAACCTTTCACAAGCAGAAAGTTAGTAGATGTCTTTTCTATATCATTGTACCCATTGGTTTACCTTAACTTTATTAGCCGAATGGGTTGTATGAGATGTATTTTTCAAGGAGGAGTCTGAAGAATACAAAGCAGCCATTGAACTGCTTGAAATATATCGAGATGCCAAAGAAAAGATTAGGAAGGGCGAACCACTGGATGCATCTTACGAAGATCCGTCAGGTTCCGACAGTGATACTCCGTCGGGTTCAACGAGGTACGTTTTTATTTTCGCATTTAAATTATTGGTTGTAAGTGAAGGATAGACTGCGCCATAGATGACATTTTTTATTAAGGTGGTAAATTTAGATCAATTTCGCCTGCACCTAGCTCTCGAGCGTCATCTTCTGCGTCTTCTGATGAGTTGGATAATGAAATGGTAGAAGACATTCTGTGCGGGATTTTAGAGTTAACTGATTCCACTGGTCGTCTTATTTCACCACCATTTCGAGTGTTGCAAAGCAAGGAGGTAGAGAATTAAAGTTTCCATTTAAGAGGTATTTGTAGAATGTATGCTGTTCCATCCATACTTACCTTAAAGGAGTTCCCTGTGTATTACGAAAAGATCTGTCATCCTATGGACTTGAAGACCATTGCGGAAAAGACCAGAGCTGGAGCGTACACGCGAATGTCTCAAGTTGAGAGGGACGTCCGAGTACTGTGTCGCAATGCCCAGGTAAAGCATCTGTTTTTCTTCCTTCTTAAACTTTTCATTTATGGAAAATTCCTCTATCTGTTCGCTTCTTCTTTAGCAGTTTAGTGGTAAGGGAAGCGAAATTTATAAGGATGCTGTAGCCCTCATGAATTACTTCAAAGGGAAGTCTGTGCAAGTTCTCGAGAGAGGTGTCCATCCAAAGCGGTCGGTCTTTATTTTGTATTTATGCGCTATATGCCTTGTTTGTTCAGTCTGTTTTAAATGTTGTTACTTTAGTCGAGAAAAAATTCGTCGTATTGTGGATGGTCTTCTTGCACAAACTGCCCTACCTAGTACTGCTGAACTTTCTGAGGATTCTGAGGAGGATGAAGATACTGAAGAAAGCGATGTTCGTTCGCTTTTAGTTTTCTTTTATTGTTTGCTGAAATTTCCTTGTTTATAGCACTAAGTATGTACCATCGCTAGTTCAGAAGTTTTCAGGATCCTTTTTGGAAACTTTACTGGACTATCCGAAATGCCCCCAATGATAAAGATCGCGAAGCGAATCTCTCTGATCCGTTTCTCGAACTGCCAAGTAGGAGGTGTGTGGTTCTTTCCAAGCATGGTTTGTTTTGTCAAATATATCAGAATTCCTCCAGCTATTATCCCGACTACTTTGATGAGATCTCCCGTCCTGTGTCTCTATTCATGATAAACAGGAAATTGAAGAGGAATGGCTACAAAACATTCGATGAACTTTTGAAGGATTTTATCCAGGTTTAATTTGCTAGAGATTTTCGAATTTCCGTCGTATTTTCGATTTTTTTAGATTAAAAAATAGCCTTTCAGATGTTCGAAAATGCCTGTGAGTACAACATGGAGACGTCGGATATTTTCATTGCTGCGCAGAAGCTGCAAAATCTTGCGATTCGTAAAGCGCGTGAGCTGCAACCAAGCTTAGATCTATCGGTAAACAGTGACTTTTGTTATCATTTATGAATTGGTTTTTCCATCACTGATAGACCTCTTGAGTTTTTTCAACAGCTTTTTATGTTTGATTTGTAGTTGAGTTTATCTTATTAAGGCGTTTTTAGCTATACAGCAAAAAGTGTAAATATCCTTCGAAGTCTATGAAATTTCCCAAGAATTATAAAGTCGACATTGATTCCGATTCGGACGAAAAAGTTCGTTTTTTAGCCATTGTAATTTGTCTTTTTTTATGGAGATAATTGCAACTATTATAATGCTGAGACATTTGCAAAACTCCGGACCGTAGGTGTATGCGGTGGGGAACGAACGCACTATTGTCCTTTGCGGAGAGTAACGCGTTCACCACCACACCATGCGGGTCCTTCGTTTCGCCTGTCTTTCAGCTATTTCTGTCGATCTCTGCCGTCAGCAATCACCGGTCAACGGGATTGATCTGGGGAGCGGCATTGAACTCAGTTAAGCTGAAGCTATAGTTATAATGACAATCTTAGCGTTCACATCATCACAAGCATTATAATAGTTATATTTCGAAAAATACCCTGCCGTTAAAAAGAATAGGCAGTAAATAAAAAGGTTAAGATGATAATTACAACACTACTCAGGATACTTCTGTCTCATCGGAAAAGAAGAGATATCGTTCGACAAAGAAGCTGCGATCGATTTCAACAGGGATGAACGCAGAGCATGTTTCGTTACCTGGTCGACCTGGCAGAAAAAGCATGGATGAGCTCATGCTCAGGTTCCGTCAAAAACTGATGATTTTCTGGGATCTCATTTTTAATCACAAGGTTAACATTTGCCTGCTTCTTCCTTCAAATTTACCTAATGTACTAAGTAGGTAGCGCAGTCAAATTTGCTGTTAGGTTGGGACGTATTGGCCGGCTGGCGCTTTCATGGAGCTACCATCATCGCGAGAATATCCAGACTATTACCGAGTTATTGAGCGTCCTATTGATCTGAAAACTATTAAGGAAAAGATAGAGAATAATAAGGTAATGTTCTTAGATTACGAAGCTGTTTAACAAACATATTAACAACTCTATTTTTCAGTACCACTCATCTGTACAGTTAATGGAGGAGTTTACTGTTTTATTTGATAATGCACGACGGTATAATGAGGCGGATTCTCAAATTTCTCGTGATGCTGGTACGCTGTTGAGTATGGTCAATATTGCGCATGCAGACGATAAGGATGCTCCCTATGAAAGCCCTCTTGCGCTTAAGCAGAAATTTGGGTGAGTGTTGCTGCAGTGACTTCATATTTTTCTTTACAGCCATTCTATTACTATTCGTTTCGAGTTTTTTTTTTGGTCTGTCTCTGCCGCTTGTTATAAGACAGCTAACATTGTTGATTTGCGGCACGTATTAAACCTAAAGGTGTGGCAATACGATTTCAATCCTTACATTAACATATGTCTACATCTAGTTGGCTCAAGACGAAACTTCCTAAACCGCTAAGATCTGCAGCGAAATGTGCGAACGGTCTTGTAAATGGCACTGGCGGTATCTCTGATGACGATTCATCGAATTCCTCTATTAGGTGAACAAAATCTCCGTTCACTTTCTTGTCTAAGTATTCTGTTGCATGAATTTTTTTGTATATTTCGTTCTTTGTGGAGCTAACACTAGCTAAACGCACGAATCTTTAACATGTTATGTCTCTGCTGCTATTCCTTGTCGATTATACTGCAGGTTTTTACGAAATCAGTGTAGTCTTTGATTGTTTATTGTCTTGTTTGGTCTAAGTGGCGTTTTTCTTTTTTTTCGTAAATTTTTTCTTTTGCAGAAATTCTGTTTCGACATCTCAACAAAGAGGGAGGACTCCAAAAACTGAGAGAAAGTTTGAAGACACTATTGCGAGGTGCCTTACATGTTATTCGTTTTCCACTCTCTTCGCTTACGCCTTTACGCTATAAATTTTTTGAATTACACAATGATGCTATGAGCTGAAAGGTAAAATTGTGTTTTCTTGAAGAGTATGCAGTTCGTGCAACACTGTTAGAGGATAACTAAGTTTAAATACTGAGCAAGAAAAACGATTTGTGTTAGAAATGAGGTTAAAGTCTTAAGTCCCACGACCGATTTTCTGCTAACTTCGGCATTCGTCGATTAGTTATTTATATTTTTGTTCAGCAAGCAAGTGGTGTTATTTTATTCCCCTATTTACGCATAAGCTGACACTTCGGCAGATTTCGTCTTATTCAGCACCTGGAAAGGTGAAGTTGACAGCAATCTACCCGGCCAAGCACTTCCGTAACCAAACAGAGAAGACGTTAAACCAAGATTCCAGTCACATTGAACACAGAATGGCTTCTTTTCACACTTATTAAAATCTTGGTTTACCATTTTCTCTGTTTGGTTGTAGAAGTGTTTGGCTTGGTAGATTGCGGTCAACTTAACCCTTCCAGGCTCTCTGGAAGGCGAAATCCGCCGAAACGTCAGCTTGTACGTAAATGAAGAAACAGAATAACACCTGGCGTTTGCTAAGCAAGAATACAAAAATTGTTAAAGTCCTATTTAACACTCTTTGTTTCCCACTATGTTTTTAATTACGGTATTGTCTTCGGAAAGAATTACGTGCATTTTTTCTTCGTTATTATGACTGTGATTTATAGGCTTCCCACAAACGAGCAACAAATGTGGAAGTTGTTCCACGTTGTGCGCGACGCTACTGATACAGATGGCAGGAAGCTAGCTAGTGCTTTTATTAAATTGCCAACAAAAGAGGTTGAAGAGTTTCGTCTCACTTTCGTTTTTCCGTTGTAGTTTTTGCAAAAATTTAGCGTTTCCTAGAATTGCAAATATGAGAAGCTACTGACAGAATCCTATTTATATTACGAGCACTTTACGTATAAATGCATGTTAACTTTTGCTGTCGACTTTAGGAGTATCCTGATTACTATGAGGTTATCAGGAAGCCCATGGATCTTCAACGAATCCAGCAACGTCTTCAGGCTCATGGTTACGGTAGATGGGTCGACATCGTTGCAGACATGTGTCTTATGCTTGAGAACGCTTGCAAATACAACGAACCGGAGAGTAATATTTACAAAGTGAGGTCTAACATATTATAGGCTTCCTTGCTGTCTCTTTTCTATGTCTATAATCGTCTATGAACAGGATGCAGTTAGACTGCAGCGCCTAGTTTTGGAGAAGAAACGTGAGCTCGGTGCTGCCGAGGACTGTATTCCTCGAGTTCAAGTTGAGATCCGAACTATGTTTACTAATATATTTGCAGCCGTGTTTAGTAAAAAGGTGACTATTCCAGTTAACTATTGTACTCTTAGGATCTGTTCATACTATTGTATGGTATGTTTGTCATATTTTAGGATTCTAATGGTCGATGTAGGTGTGACTCATTTGCTGAGCTGCCAGAGCTTTTAAAAGCCCGGTGTATTCCACCAGATGAATGGCCGTTCTCTTTTGATCAAATTAAGCGTAATATAGACAAGGTGCATCTTTTTTTGAGTTTTGCGTTACATCTATGCCTCTTTTGCTGGACGATGTTGTTCTCCATTTTTTTTCGTTTTCTTGTGCAAACTTCAATTTAACCATCAACTGATTAATTACTCTCTTAATTCATTCGTGAACTGAAACGAATCGAAAGGTTTGAGTAGTGCACAGAACTAGTGACCTCATGCTTTGTTTCACTCCATTATTCGAATCTGATAAGTTGGTCAAAAGCGCTAAAATTTTCAATTGCGAATGCTGTTACAGAGAATAAGATGTTAACGGAAAATCGGAGGCACCGAAAAAAAATTCTTCGGTGCCGTGTAAGGTTGTCGGTGAATGGAGATATCTCTGTTCTTGTTCGTAATTTCAGTGAGCAATCTATCTTTCCGATCAGTTTCTTTTTCTTGAAGAGTTTCCATTAATTAAGGGTCGCTATCGTCGTTTGGATCGGTTTCAAAAGGACTTCTTCGATTTGTTCGACCGTGCGCGGGAGTTGAGTAGGAGCGATTCAAAGGTACCTTACACTTTGTTATGATGACCGTTCTGAGTTTGTTTGCTTGACACAGTAATTCTGCATGTTTTAGTTATCTTTATAAACCAGCTCATTTGGCTTATTTCAAAATGATACCATATTTCAAGTATTACCTGAGAGATGTTTTCGAGACGTTTCTGCCTATATTATTGTCAATTAAGCGACTCATTCGGCCTGTATTTCGATATCACCTAGCCGCTATTAACATGTCTGTGACATATTCACTGTAACGAAACACTGAGCTGAAGCACTCATTTTGTTATTTCGTTGGAAAGTTCAAATTATTGGTATAATTAAATCCCATTTGAAGCAATAAATATGAAAAGCTAGCTTTAGAGATAATAAATGACCTGTAGCGCTCTTGACCTCTATCTCTTTATTGGATTTGTGTATTAACGCCGTTGTTTTCTCTAAATTATATCCCGAAATGGTTTCTTACAAAACGAGGCGAGACACGTGAATTTTGATGTGTTTAATCCCAACCTTTAGGCTGTCAAAGGAAGTTCCGTGTTTTTACAGGCTCCTTCACAGTTGTGAAGTTTCCATTTTTGCCTTTTACTTCATTTGTAACATGATTTTCAACAAAATCGTCGTTCAACGTTTTAGAGGATTGATATAGCTCAAAAAATAAAAAAAAGTGGTATTCATTTCGATGCATATTTTACGACTGCTGTAGCATTTCAGCTTTTCGAGGATGCCACTGAACTACAACTAGCGTTTGTCAAGGAAAGGGATATACAGTGCAAGGGAGTGCTTATCTCAACAGCGTTTGCTACAAATGAGAATGTAAATGAATTTTGAAAATATTCTGCCTGTTTTCTCCAACTAATTAATAATCATCTGTGCATGGGATTTCTTCTTTCCAGGATGTGATGGAAGCGGCTGAGAAATTCCGAAAATCAAAAATGCACCATGAAGCTGAGATACAGAGGCGTGAAAGTAACGACCAAGAAATTGAGAAACAGGTTAAATTTATTTTTTACTTTTGTTTTGTTTCACTGTGGCTCAAATAGTTATTTCATAATAATATCTTTATATAAGTGTGTTTCATTTACTAGGATGGAGAGGTGGATTTGGATTCTCTTACCTTTGATGGAGTCGAATATAATACTCCATCATACGCTTATATTACACGAACAGATGACAATGCACGAGCACCACCGCATATAATTCGCATAGAACGAATTTTCAAGTAAATAATGTTAATTGTTAACTATTTTAGAAAGGATTTCTTCAGGGTCGTATTGAGTGTTATTATAGAACGGACAGTGGCGATATGATGGTCAGGGGAAAATGGGTGTATCGGCCAAACGAAACTCTGCATTTAGCTAATAGGAAGTTTATCGAGAACGAAGTAAGGCAATTGGTATTTTTCTTACTATCTCGATTCCTAGAGACAAATCCTGCCTATCCACTTATTTCTTTTAGGTTTTTGTAACTCCATTCATCGACACAGTGCTTGCTGAACGGCTGTGCGGTAAATGTGTAGTCATGTCTTTAAAAACAGCCATCAACAATGTTGTCGAAGACATTAACCCTAAAGATGTGTATGTGTGCGAATGTCGATACCTCGGCAAACCTCGCTATTTCGCTAAACTCAAGGTAATTTGTGAATGAGGAATTGTAATTACTTCCTAGAGTTCGTTCACTTGGCATTCTTTTACTATTTCGGCATTTTATATTTATTTTTTATTTTTTTCAAAAATTTTTCTGCATAGACTTGGCCGTTTCCTGAGGAGGAGGAAAAGCTGAAGTTAAGTCCAAGGTCACGTCCACTTTCTCCTGTTCGTGTAATGAGCGAGTTCATGCAGGCAGATGGTGTGACGCACAGAGAAGATGATGAGGTACTGTTCCTACTTTTGATGAACTTTCCGCCATAAATCTACTCCAGGTTGTATACAAATTACTTATCAGTGTACACTTTTTGATATTTCTTATAAGGTCAGGTAATCATTTGAACTGAATAAGATGCGAAACCCGGAAAAAAGTATTAAATGGGTCTACTTCTATCATAGACACTGGTATTGTAATAATCTTTTTCCTCTACTTCTGTTCCATTATTTGTGTATTATGTATTTCTCATAAAAGTTTCCATATCCTTTGTCATCTAATACGTTTTTTCCAGCTTTGTTGCCGTCAATAAAAGGCATTTTTAGAAATCCCGTTCGCAATCATCTTCAAGTTCGGAGGAGGACAACAGGTTAAGAGATTCTGTGGTTCTCGACATCGACCGGCCAGAGGTGAAACTATTATTATAACGCTCCCAGTATTCCACTTGTTTACTTAACCTTTTCAGATTCCGTCTCGTTCAGAAGCAGATGCTGATGGACGTACTTATTTCCATGCAATGCGAACCCATAGTGGGAAGCATCACAGTGTCGGTCAATTTGTGCTTGTTTTCAATCCACAGAAACCGACGTGTGACGTGATGCGCATTGATAAACTATGGAGGGAAAAAGAGTAAATTTCTTTTTTTTTGAATTTCTTGCTGGTGGAAGTTATTGTATAAAATTGCTTCAGCGGCAGCGAATGGTTCAGTGGAGGATGGTTAGCTCGGCCAACAGAAGTCCAACATGATTGCGGAAGGACTTTTTTTGTGCGAGAGGTTTTTTTTAAATCTATTCTTTGTTGGATTTATAAAATTTTGAGATATTTGCAAAGCTCCGGACCACAGGTGCCTGCGATGGGGATCGAACACGCTATTACTCTTTCTGCGGCCTAGCGCTTTCACCATCACACCATGCGGCTCATTCGTTTCACCTTTCTTTCAGCTACTTTACTATTTACCAGTGCCATCAGCAACCAGCCGTTGGTCTGGTGGTGGAGGGTGGGGCATAAATCGGCAGTGAGCCTAGTTAAGCTGAAGCTGTGGTCTAAATCTCATTGTCAACCTATTTTCATTAGCTAGCTAGCTACTAGGTGAGAGAAAGGTGAAGCGAAGAACCCGCATGGCGTAGTGGTGAACGCGTTAGCTGCCGGAAAGGGTCAATAGCGTGTTCTATCTGCACCACAGACGCCTGCGGCCCGGAGTTTTACCAATATCTCATGATCATTATGGTTGTTTCTCACATAATACCCTGCCGTAAAAAATCGTCGTAGGCAGTAAATAAAAGGAGCTAGTATTATAAAATTTTGTTTTTTTTTTCAAAAGGTTGACAACGGGTGTAAAACAATGTGAGTATTTCGTCATTTATTTTACGTTCTTGAATTACTTCTTTATTTATTCGGATGAATCATTTTGTTGTACTCAACAGCTACAAATGCTTTCAGTCTGAAGTCGGTTTTTCAAAAAACTGGTGATAGTCTTTCGAGAATTGTAATATTTGAGGGTTTGAGGAATTAGTAGACTTAGAGATTTCGCATTTAAGAAAGAACATAGTGTAGAATGTTATTTCAGTTTTGAACTTGTTTAGAATAAAATTTTCCACAATATTGAAAGCACTATCAAGTGTTGAAATTTCTTGCGCAACCACGGTAACCGGAAACATCAGCGACATATTCGGGGCATCATCCACGTTCTGCTGATTCAAACCTCATTTGTTCGATTGTCTTTATATTCGGAATGAGAATTTCGACTGAAAAAGTGTCAAAAATAAAATTTCTGAAATCTGTAATATCAGAACTTAAAGACGCTAGGATAAAAACACTTGTATTCTATCGGTAAAAATATGTTGTGTAAAGGTTTCTGTTTTAATTAACAAAGTTTACTATGACCTGAGTTATTTTGATTTAGATATGGTTGAAAGTAGCATTTATTTTCACCCTGTGATTGGAGATGTATTCATGTTGAAATCTAAGTGCTAACTGATTTGCCGTAAATATAATTACATCGATTTAGAACATGTCGTGGTCACAGAACAGAACAATCAGAACATGCGATTTAGAACATCTATAATTATTTTAACACTGCATGGAGCGGAAGTTACATAGGGAACTGTCTATAGTATATAAAATTGTTTCCTCTTTTTTATGATTGACCGCTAAGTGTCGGTACTGCATGCACGTGTCCATATGTTTCTGCGCCAGGCATATATATATATATATATATATATATATGTGCATATATATGTATATGTTAAGTACATGCGTAGGTATATTCATGTACATATGTATATATGTATTTAGGTGTTAATCCAGCTCTACATGTTTTACTTGTATTACCTCGTATGCCTCTAATAATTGAGTGTACATCAAAGTTTCCATGGTCTCTGCCATGCACGGGAGGTACTCGTCGGTCTTCAGTTGCTCAAGGAGCGGAAAAAGCATTGAGTCCAGGAAGATGGTCTTTGTTTTTGCTGCTCTGGAAAAGAAAGAGGTTAATGTGCGCCACGGTGACATAGGCTACTGCCAACTGGAATACCAGATTGAAATTCCTGCTTCAACTGATAGTTCTTGATTGAGTGTGGTGAACTTCATGTGTTAAATCGCAGTTCGAACACAGAACACTGAAATTTTTTCCATACTGTAAACTGTTCGTTGAGAGACCCAGTCGCAGAAATATAGTTTATTAGTATCCGTTATTTCATTTCATTCAATGATTTAGTTGTCCACAACGTACTAATCATGCTAGATATAAATCCTGTCTCATAATTTGATCGAGATGCCCTTGTCGGATGTACTAGATGCCGGCGTCTGTTTTTTTTATTGCGTGACCTGTCATCACATCTCGCATCCACCAACCTTGAACGTCTTCGAACACTTTTATGTAGTTTTTGCTGCTACTTGGGAACTTTTCCTTCGTCGCTGCAAATGTTGTATGGCGGCCGAATTCGTGCTCCTTGGAATCGTGAGATAGCCGTACTGCGGCGTCACCACGTGAATTGAAGGAGTGAGGTTGTCCTAGGTTAGTCTGGAATCCAAGCGCCCTTCCCGATCCCGGAAGGATGAGGATCTTGCTGGGTTTGATGCTTGATGCGGGGTCGAACCATCGCCTTGGTGGGTTGGGCTGTCTGCGTAATGAGCGAGATCACTACGACTATACTACCCTTCATAACGTTCACTACTTTGTTCTAAATAAAATAACTAGGTTCGGTGCCGATTTGTGCTCCTCTGATAATTCCAGTTGACGGGTGACTGCTGATCCCATCATTAGGGCAAAAAACTGGCTGAGAGAAAGGCAGAGGAAGGTCCTCAGTGATGCAGTGGGGTAGTCGCGGATTCGAATGTGGCCTCCATCCACGTTTTGCTAATGTTTCTGCATAAATGTGGTTGTATTCCACATAGTATCCTGCTATAATGAAACAACAGGCAATAGATAAATAGTTAAGCATTTTGCTCCATATATTTGTTTAGTGAATCCATCCCAAGTGCAATATTTTTAAACGCGAAGTACTATCATTATAGAATATGCGAAGGAATTATACTTTATTCTGTGTTTATCATTACTTTCTATTTTTCAATTATCCAGGATCACATGTATCACACTGTGCGAATCCCAGCACGTTTTTTATTAGATTTGTCTCCTCGCATCTGCCATTCACGAAGTTCTTTAACCTTTTTCGTCTGGATTCTATTATCATTTGAGCCTTTCTGAAATCATGAGGTAGCCATTTCCAGTTGCTGCTGCTTGAACTCAGGGGCTGGGGTTGGTCTAGATTAGTTTGACACCAATCTCTCTATCCCGGAAGAATTAGCCAAAAACGGCTTTGAACCAGCTGCTGGGTAGGTTGAACTCTCTGTATAATAAACGGGATCACCACCACCGCGCAACCTCCTCCATGCTCTCCATGTTCTATATTTGGTGTAATGAAATTTGAACTAATGAGAGTTTTCATTCCCTTTTTTTTACGTGGAACTACTTTGGCCCACTCGTAACATCACGGCTCTGAAGAAGGCGAAATCGCCGAAACGTTAGCCATCGACCAACAACAACGACAACGAAGACCTATACCAACCTCGCATCAGCTAAACAAGATCACTTTATAAGATCATATAAATAAATATAACTGCTTTGTGTTACACTTCATTTCCAACGAGATCAGTGTTTCACGGCACAGTAATTAGACATGAGGGTTGAGCTGATAGCATAAATTGTACAATTAAGTTCTTGTTAATATGCTAGGGTCAGATTTACTGTGCTGGAATACACGTGAAAAGAGGATTCTTCACTATGAGCTTCTTTAAGCCAGTATGGCATGGACCACTAGCACATGCCATTCTCAAATTCAGCAGCTGACCGACAGCGTGCAAATAAAAAGTCCAGAAAGCAAACAGGTTTTCTACGCGACAGCATTCGTTCCTATTTTACTAGAACTAACCCAGCATGTATTGACCATATTTGGGTAGGTCTTTCCCAACCTGACGTATACCATTCCGAACTCTCAAGGACCACCCACGACGAAAAGCTTTGGTGATCAGTACAAAGTTGATTGAAACACGGAGAATCCGTTACCATGATAGTTCTACATAGCAGGCAGCCAATAATTTCCATGGTGTTTGACAACTGTGGTAAGTAATTATAGTGAAGTTTGGCTGTATTGGAGGTTAACTTATTTGCTCAATGAATATATTACATTTCGAAAATTGTGCTTAATTTGCAAAACTTTTGCATTAACCGGTTACAGGTTGCGTTACAGATCTATTACAGTTAAGTGAATACGGATCGGAACGTCGTTGTCTACAAAGAAAAAAAATTAGGACCAACTTTTTAGGTTTTCGCCATCGATCAACCTGATCAGACACGGCGAATCGAAGACATCCAAAGCCATTGCGCGGTTCTCACACCCAAGGAGTTTGTCAAAGGTTGTGCTTTCAACATTACCTCTCGTTTATTTATCGTTCTTGAGAAAAAAACTTCCTCAGAGCGACCGACTGAGATTCCTGAGTGTGACGTTTTTGTGTGTGAATCACGTGTTCCCGGTAATTCCTTCGCAAAAGGAGAAGCCTCATCACTGTTCACGAGACCACCTGAGAAGGTATGCTTACTGCAGGGTTTTTCGGTGCAGTCCAATAAATTTACTTTATTGCAACCTATAAGTGGGTCACTTAGGAGGGATGTTTCAGGCCGTCGTCGACGATGAAAATTATGATCCACTGAATGGTGGCACGCCCATGCACATAGACTCTGCTAAGCCTTTGCGAAAATTTAAGGTAGATATTTCTATCCTTGCCTCTTTTTTCCATTGCTCCTTGAGGACGTTGGTTAGAATACGGAGAATGCGGATGTTGACTAGGTGAACATGGAAAGTGATGGTGAAGTGTGGGGAAAATGTTTCTTTGTATCTTTGTCTGTGGTACAGATGGGGAGTGGCCTTTCGATGACAACGAAACATCCGTCCATACTTTTGTACTTACGCAGGCTGAGTTGTTATCTAGAGCAAGTGCTCGATGCGCCATACTAATTGAAATCAACATCCTTCATACAAATTTTTTGAAATTGCCGCCGAAGAGGGCGAACTCATGTACTGCAGCGAGCCATCTACTACGAGTGGCTTCTATAACGGCTGCTGTAGCTGAAATCGTAACTTCGTTCGCACTCACAATCCTTGCGAGCAGGAGCGTGCGTATCGAAGAGACGCAGACGTCGCCCCCCAGTCGGGGCACGAATAATGGGAGGTCGTGGCTTTGCACGATAGGCCATCGATTTGCTGTTGAGGGTAGATAGCGCGCGTTCGGGTAGAGTCGCGGGGCGAGCGAGCGCGGATAGTGTGTGGCCGGGAGGGGAGCGCCGCTGGGCGACAAAGTCGACGCAGATCGTGTGACGAGAACGAAGGTGGGAGAGCGGTGGCGAGGCAGTGTGTGCGGCGTGGAGGACGTGCCTGCCGCTGAGAGCCAGTCGGGGCTGCGCGGCCGTGCGGAGTGGGTGGCCGGCGACGTCGTCGGCTCGGCGAATGCGAATCGTCGTCGCCGTTGCGATTCCATCGCTTCGCCGCTGCGACGACGGACGGACACCGCCGGTGCCGGACGGCTGGCCACCGTCACCACTGCGGCGGCGGCTGCCCGCCACCCCCAGCCGTTCGTGCACTCGTGGATCCCCCGTCAGCAGCTTTCTACCACCCAGGGGCCGATGCCCGAACTTGGAGCGCATTCATTGCGATTTCCTGTTGTACTCATGCGCGGCGACATTCGTTCCACCGTGTCGTCTTGTCGCTTCATTACAGCTAACGGTGTGAATCTGAACTCAACGTTATGGTCTTTTAAACTTGTGATGCCTGGATGCTTATCACCTCTGACCTGGTTCATTTGTCGTATAGAACAGCACCACATATTACTCCGCCCACCACTTATCGCACATTGTAAAAAATTATATCATATTGAATTGCAGCAGTACAAAGGTGCACGGCTGCCGGATGCTGAGTTCTTCATCTTCAAAGTCCCAATAACTATGGAAAAAGTGAGTTTCAGTTAACATAGATGTTTCTCATTGGAAGCTGTACGAGATCTCTAAGAAATTCTTGGTTCGAAAAAAGTAAAACACTTTGAAGCAAAGTAGTTAGTAGGAATTTATGGACATCTCCTTCTAATTGTGTAAGGGTTTTCAACACATCTCCTTGTTACCTACTTTCGAAAGGTGATTTCGCTTGTAGGTACTTTTTTCAAGAATTGTTTAAGGAACTATCACCGTTAGCGCGCAACGGATCAACAGGTCCATCTGAATTGGACATGGAGCTTGATGAGAATGATACTGATGGAGCGGAGTCAACAGCGAGCAAGGTTATTATACATATTTACTAGAAATGGTGGTGTCATTGTCATAGTGCTAATGATAGCTAAGATCATTGGCCTGTGAGAGGTTCAAAAAGAATGGTTTTTGAATGTTTTGGAACCACTTTGTGGTAAAATAAGATATTTCGGAACGACATACTTTTTGAGGGTTCAGTTTAAAAGTAATTATTACAGTCAGGTATAATGTCAAACTGGCTAGCTGCACAACCGAAATTGACGGCCAAGAGCAAATCCGGCTATATTCTATTCTCAGCCGAGATACGAAAGCGAATTATGCATGAAAACCCTGATTCAGGTTTCGGCGAAGTGTCCAAGATTGTAGGAATAGAGGTATTACCACTGTTTTCGATTTTGCTTAAATAATGATATGTTAACTTGTAATTAATTTCAAATGAAAACGTGTTTCATGAGCTTGACTGAGAAGTAAAGGTCAGTTCTTATCGATGGCAAAGTTGATGTTTCAGTGGAAGAAATTGTCGGATGATCAAAAGAGGCAGTACGAAGTTCGTGCAGAGTACATAGCTAGCGAACGAGCAAAGCAAGAGGCTGCCCGTGCTGCGAGTGAGAAGTCTCTTCAGGTGAAAGCGTAGCAGTTACCACTTTCCTTTTTTTCTTGGAAATGTTTTTGCACAATTTTTTGCCTTATAACTTCCAGTTTTCATACTTTCATAGCTATTTTTTTTACCCATTAAAGAAGCTGCGTTTTGGTATTGTCTATGTAGAATTCAACTTCACTTAAATGTGCTTCCGAATCATGCGTATTATGGTGACATTTTCTTATGTGACGCCCACTTTTTCAGCCCGGTCAGATCCGAATATACCAATGCAGGTGGATCAATTGTGATTCGCAATTCGATAGCGAGAATGGCCTCTACGAGCACATAGTTCAACACCATACTAGCCAAATTATTAGTAAGACTTATTTTATTTTCTGGCTTGTGTTTATTACTGTGGCAAGATTGGCTGAACAACTTTATGTTTATTAAAGCAGCGAGATGGCCCTCCCAGGGTGTTCCTATGGATATGTGTCACCTTTCTAGTAGGTTTCTTCTTGGACACTAGCAGTTTGTCCCGACCAGCCAACACAACACTAGTCAAGCTTGAGCTGTTTGAAATCTACGACGTTTTTTATTTTAGTGGACAGCGAACAACAATACGTGTGTATGTGGGTGACGTGTGTTCGGAACAGGAAGGAGGGTAAACCTTTCCCGTCTTTACCACGCCTTCATCGGCATATGAAAGTGAGTTAAACAATTACAAAAGTGGTATGTTGGGGTATCTTCTTCACGGAGATAGTACGTTACATATTTTCTGATTCTAGCAAGCATTCTTTTAGGAGAAGCATCTTTCCTCATCAGTGAAGAGCGTCTATCCTAACCAGATCGGACGGAATTTTTTTAAATTTTCGACACAGTCAACTTCAACTGGAGAGACTGTAAGTCGTCGTCTTATTGATCACTGGTACTGCGGTTGAGCATAAACAATTCAAATGACCAATGTTCTAGGGAAGCACTCTTGTCCACATCCCATATGGGAGAGGTTTAGGAAATCAGCAACCATCTACTCCATCCACTTCACAATTTTCTCACCTTAACGGTCACAGCAATACGGCAACTCCCCATATAAATGGCGAACAACATCACTCCGTGTGTATTCTCTTTTTTTCTGCTCATACGCTCTATTTTTGCACTATTCATTCGGAAGATTCAGTCACCAATGCAACAACATCAGCAACCTACAAGCGCTCAAATTCCTCAACAAATCGCCCATCATCAAGCCACGCCTTCATGTTCGCAGACGCCTATGGTAGGTGTCGCAGTTCTTTCTAAAGAGCTTTCATTACTGAATACTTTGTAGGCTTCATCGTCAATAGCGGTACAGATAACAGATGCCGCACGTACAGTTGTCAAAGCTCAGACCGCAGAGCCGGTATTCGTAGCACCGCCGTCCTCGGTACATGCGCGTCGTGTGCTGCATTCAGAAACATATCTTAGGTAAGTCAGAGACCTTTGCTTTTAAATAATTCAAGTTCTTGCAATACTGTTTATTCCTACAACCGATTTTCTATTAACCTCGGCATTGATCAATTATTCCCCGATATTCTTGTTGGGCAAACACGGGGTGTTACTTTGTTCTTTATTCCGCTAAAGCTGACGTTTCGGTAGTATCGCTTTCTTCAGAACCTGGAAGGGTGTATTGATATGCAGTTTCTGATTTTCTTGAATTTCTCCAGTTAGGCTCTGAAGAAGGCGATATTGCCGAAACGTTAGCTTAAACAGAATAATTAATAAAGTAACACCTCGTGTTTGCTGTATGAGAATACTGTCAAATCTTTTGGCATTTATTTTAAAACTTCCAGAATATGAGAGCACCCACACAACTCAACCGAGCTAACATCTAACATAGAAGTTTTTCTGTCTGTTGAAAATTTGTTTGTGTCCATGTTTTTCACCATCAAAATCCAGCTATGTTGCATTTCATCTTCGTACTTAGTCGTCGTGATTTTCAGGTATATTGAGTCCTTATCCTCGAATCGTCAGCGTAGTGTGTCTAAATGGGATACATCACTTAGCACAAACGCACGTAATGCACAACCCAATGCTGCTCGACCACCTCCCACACACTGGATAAGGGTTAGTACGCTTTGTTCTTTTAGTGTAGTGGTGATCCTACTGGACAAAGTTCCTAACCGTACTGCATTTTTTTTGTATTAAGGAGTCCCGTGGTCGACCTATTACCAAGGAAGAGGATGTAGTGCGTGCATTGTGGCGACTGCGCGACGAGTTACTCGAGAGCACGTGTAATCTATCAGTAGAAAAGGAGTTCGTTGGTGTTTTGTGAGATGACAACTTCTTTATCACTTTCTCGCTCTCTATCTTTCCATTTCCTCACGGTCATATATAGTAATAATATTTAAAATCTTCATATAGAAATTCTAAGCCCGACTTGTATGAGGCAGGGGTGCCTTGGCAGTGTTTATGCATACGCGTCCGTTTTCCTTGTCCATGATCTCTTCGTACTGCAGTATCATTGCTTGCAATCGAAACAGGCCTTTAACTGTTTTCCGTCCATCTCACAGAGCTGTGTTCAACACCCATCGAACCACCGTCTCAAATCACACTATATGCTTGTTTACTCCCACTAATCGCAACCCTCCATGCATAAATACAATCCTCATGAATTGAACATCACATTCTACTATCTCGTATACGGTGAATTTGTAGGTCTCTGACCCTATGTGTACATTGTGATGATGTTTGTTATTTATACCATTTGATACTTTTTACTTCCGTTTGTTTTGTTGAGCCTTTTTGCCGTTAATTATAATGATGTAGTTTGGTGAGGTCGATGAAAGGTAAATCGATTAAATGTTTCAATTGTTTCACCACATGGAAGAAAATGAATCAGCAACATTATTACGTTATGGACTTAAGCAAGAGATCCTATCTCTTAGATTACATTATGTATATATTTATATATAATGTAGTTTACAATTTAATATTACGTGATAAAGCTAGTTTAAGCAAACCAAACTGAACAACTAGTGCAGTCACGCAAATTGCATGTACAACTGAGCTTCACTGAAAAGTGCTTACCTTCTTGAGGCTTCAACAAGAAGGTATTGAGGTGTTTTTTTTTTGCAGTGCAGAAAACGGTTCAGTACTGGGACTTGTTTACAACCAGCACGGTGGGTTTGTTGGTGAGTGTTGTCTGTTGTTGCGTTCTCAAATATTCTAGATATGAGACAGAGATGGCAGCTTGCCAACTATTGTACACCAAAAAGCCGGTGAGAGTAGCAAAGATGACGCTGCAATGGATGTAGTACGACTCGGTTTTGTCAGTGTGTTGGGCTGAAAATATTTTGTTAGACACGAGTTTGTTAATGCTAACAGTGTAAGTAGCTCGGGCTATTAAAGAGTAACAACAGCCTACAAGAGCCATCAATGGAGATAGCTTCTAAAAAAAATGAGTTCGATTTGTTTCGTTCCTCTATACCTTCATCCCTTATAGTCTTCTAAATGACTGTGTTACCATGGTAGCCTTAGCAAATACATCAGGCAAATTTTTGCTGATTGTGTTACAAATAGCACTAGACAACCACGTAGGGCTTCTAAGTTTGCTGAACCATGGATGATATCAAATACTTTCTCTGTGTAAATATTTGAGTAGCGCAATGGTAATGATCTCGCCCATTACGCAAAGGCTAACTTACCCAGACTTGGTTCGAGTCCGTGCCAAGCCCGCCAAGGTTCTCATCCTTTTGGGATCAATTGGTACCAGACTTGCCTGGTATCAATTCGCTCTATCTTACCCACATGGAACCGCTCTAGGACGGCTATCATAGGATTCCACAAAAAATCGACTCGACCAGCTTTCAACGACATTCCTTATCAAAAGAAAACCCTTAAGCACCAGCCAAACCCACAAGTAAAAATCTTTGCAGGCCTTTATGAATGACGAATGCGAGGAACCGAATCCAATGCACAAAGTCCTGTGGTCCGCAAGGTTGTGATACATTTGATGTCGAGTAATGTAAAAAACACGTAGTATTAGCTTAAGAATTATTCTCAAACCAATCTCAATCACAGATGGTAGATAAATCAAATATTAACCAAGACGACTATACATACAACAAATGCGAGAATTACGGATGAACTTAGGCGATGGATACCATACTGGACTGAGTTATACATTCCATCCCACAGTACCTGCATTCGCATTCATGACATGGATGTACGGATTCGTGGATATCTATGCACACACACACACACACACACAC